GAAAGCCCAATGCCGTGTCTTGCGTATATGCCGAGAAGATAAGAAGCGAACCCGGGCATGCCAGCCCTTTACTTAGCGCGGAAGACATACGCAGATTTCCAACCCGACTCGAAACTTCTATGCTGTCGATAATGTCTAATACAACAAGTCAGATTGGAAGCCCTGGTCGGTCCAAGATAGGAGGATCTCGCTTAGGGTCTTAGCAAGCAGGTGTCGGGTGAGGGCTTCATCCTGTCGAACCCTTTGATAGGCTAGTATTGACGAGCTCTTGAATCAATAGTCTACGTTCGAATGCGATTATTGTTCATATGATAGAAAAAGCTGAGGCTAACTATATTTATCATAATCCACCCGAATCTCTGCCGAAAGAAAAGCAAGTGATTCGGAATATGAAGCGTACTTATTTTACGGATACTGGATTCTGGCCAATGTTTTTTTTATGGTTGAAGGATCTAATACCACGTTTATTCAACACAGTGGTTATGTACCGGTAGTAGAAGTGGACATGATGTGTTGGTAAATTTGACTCTATTTTTGGGACGATTTTCGACATGGGGACCGACATGCTGGCTGCACAAGTCCTATCATTGTAAGTATATCTATGCTTATACATTAATTAGACTTTTTAAAATACAATTAAGAAAGGACATTGCAATATTATAAATAGCTAGCTATCGTAAGTTCGATTTTATATTTAGAATAATCTTCGATATACTACGTAAGAACAGAAAGACAAATACCGCATAAACTCGACGGAGTGGCGCCCAAGGCTGCCAATAATTAACGTCTAATAGTGGGAAATGACCTCACAAATTTTGGAGCCCTTCCCTCTATTAATCTCTGTTTGTTGATTGATCAGTGCGTTGACTGTGCAAAGGTCTAGATGGACCTCGAAGATACGCTAGAGCTATAATTAATACTTATATCTCCATTAATTGAAAGTCAAGCCCTTGCTAATACTAGCAGAGCGTCGATCTCGTGGAGTCAACAGCTTTGGGCGGCACTTTGTCGAGTTTATGCGGTACCTAGTCCGACCTATTATTATATAAGTAAATTAAATTGATCTTTGTAAATTGAAAAAGGAAGATCGCAATACTGTGAATAATCAGCCAAGCGCAAAATCGAAGCACGATTATTTGGAGTCGACAGCTTTTGGGCGCCACTCTGTCGAGATCATGCTGTATATTAGCTGCACGACTATTAACAACTGGCGTAACAATTTCAAATGCGATTACTATTATTAGTAAAATAAATACCCGCATAAGCTCAATAAAGTGGTGTGCGGGGCTGCTAATAACGTTTAATCTCTGCTTCTTAAGTGATCAGTGCGTTGGTTGCGCAAAGGTTTGAATGGACCCCGAAATTACGCTGGAGCTATAATGAATCCATCTTTATAAAATAGAAGCCACGGAAGGCAGTGCATCAATCTTGTGGAGTCAACAGCCCCACGCGCACTATGATATCGATATGAGAAAAAGGAGATATAAATCCCTTCTTGTACCTACTTTGAACCAAATCTCTTATCGTCCTCATTATCACCTTCCTTTACAAGCTTATTCCTTTTCAATAGCTCGCAGTATCGAAAGACTCATGTAGCTTTGATACGATTTCGGTATTCCTAAAAGGATGTTATTATCGCGCTCTACTTGCTCGATCTTGCTAGCGTTAAGCTTTCTCTATAGTAAAGCTTATGGGAGGGATGTTATCGCTTATCGAACTGTTACTAAAGTTCGTTCCACTTGATTCATATATTGTAAGCTTGTACTAATTACACGGATTAAAGGAAGAAGCCGATTCTATAAATGAACACGAAAAGCCTTCTAGAGATGAATTATTCGATATATTCCCATACTCTAATCCGTTAGGAAATGGCTTATATACGGGTAAGCTGGTATAGATCGTTATTTATCACGCGAAGTTAACAATCTGAATAGTAAACATACCCGCTGGTTGGCCGGCTGAAGATCACGAGTATTATTGTGTTATCAAAGCGGATCGTGAAAAGATTGAAGAGATAAGTAAAGTATGGGTCCCAAAATTGCCAACTTCGCACTACAACAACGAAGAAGCTACTCTAAAGTATATCGAGTCATGGACAGCGGTTCCAGACCCGAAGAAGGCATTACGCTTTTCATATATTACAGAAGCTGATAAGAATCTGCAAATGCTTATTCCAACTGAAATGGTAAACAACAATGATTTGGACATATGGGCCAAGTGCTGGAAAACAAAGGAAGAGCTAATGGAAGATTCGAACGAAATCGTTGATTGGATGAGTTGGGGTATTCTTGGAGCTCCTGGAGCTCCCGGTTTCTCTTACGAAGATGTTGAGGAAAGGCAGAAGAAGAGGAAGGGCTGGTATCGGCGGGTGTCAGGGCGGGTGTCAGGGCGATTGTCAGAGCGATTGCCAGAGCGGTTGCCAGAGCGATTGTCAGAGCGGTTGCCAGGGCGATTGTCAGAGCGGTTGCCAGGGCGGATGTTGGATCGGTTGCGTGCGTGGCGTGATCGGCATTTGCCGAATTCGCCCCCTTCACCTGGACCGGAGAGCTAGAAGATATGGGAGTTGAGAAGCGAAGAGCTTGAAGGAAGGAAGGAGGAAGGAAGGGAGGAAGGGATATATAGAGAGAGCGATCAATCTAAAGAAAGCGAAGAGATTATTATACCACCACAGGTCGGCCACATTTACCTCGGCACTGACGATATAGTGTATCACCGGCGCGTTCTGAATCCGAGTCGACATCAAAGCCCATCGGGTAAGGAAATATAATTATCGATTGTTGTGAAACTGCTCATGTCAACAGAACATGTAGGCCAAATGGGCAACAAGGCGACGCTCGATAATCGATTCCAGGCTCCGAGCTACAGATCTATCCGCTTCAGACTACGCTCCCGCCATCTCGTCCTTGCGGGCCTCATACTCTGTGTATATTTCTATACTTCCTCCTCCTTCTACGGCGTCTCCTACTCCAAATTCACCAGCCGGCGCCCGTATCAAATCCAGGCCAGATTTCCTGTCGAGCATTCCGTTGCCAGGAAGCTGCGACTGGAGCGCCGAAGTCAAGTCGAAGATGCTTTCAAGCATTCATGGAAAGGATACAAAGACCATGCCTGGATGCACGACGAGGTCATGCCCGTCTCGGGAGGGCAAAAGGATCCGTTCGTAGGCTGGGCCGCGACGCTGGTCGATTCACTGGACAGTCTCTATATAATGGGATTGAAGGATGAGTTCGCAGAGGCCCTGCAGGCGCTGGAGCAGATCGATTTCTCGAAGCCGAACGCAGATAAAGTCCCCGTGTTTGAGGTTACTATAAGGTATCTTGGGGGCCTACTGGGTGCATGGGATGTCAGTGGACATCGACATCCTATTCTTCTGCAGAAAGCCAGGGAGCTGGGGGATTTTATTGCAAAGGCATTCGAGTGGGTGCTCCAATTTTTCTTCTTTTTTTTTTCTGCGTGTCGGTCAATGCGATGATACAAGCATCCTGTTTCCATTTCTGATATTTCTGATCGATGCATTTGTATCTCAGCTGCATCCCTATACCTATACTATACCACTCTCCTCGGAAAGCAATGCTAATCGCGAGGTCGACGCAGCACTACCAGCGGGCTGCCTGTCCCCTACTACTTTTGGAAGAATGCCACAGATGAAAAACTACTCAACAAAGATGGCGTTGTGATTGCACAAATTGCAAGCTTGAGTATGGAGTTCATTCGGTTGAGCCAGGTCACAGAGAGTCCAAAGTATGCCGCCTTGATTCAGACTATTACCGACCAACTTGCCTTCACGCAAAAGCTCACAGACTTGCCCGGCATGTGGCCCCTCACAGCGAATTGCTCAGCAGACTACTTGTCATTCCAAGATAGTAGGTTCTCGCTTGGCGTCTTAGCAGGTGAGGGCATTTTCTCTCATACCATCTGATGGGCTGATATTAACGAGCCCGTGAAATAGACTCGGCGTTCGAGTACCTGCCCAAAGCGCATCTGTTGAATCACCACAGATCAAATCAATACATTGATATGTATCGCATGGCTTTTTCTACATTTAGTAAACACTTGTTTTTCCGACCACTACTCCCAGGGAATCCAGACATCCTCATGTCGGGCAACAAAGATATGTCTGAAGATCCGCCGCTTCTTGATGGGCAATTCCAGCATCTTGCCTGCTTCGTCGGCGGTATGGTAGCTCTAGGATCTCGAATCAGCAATTCAAAGAAAGAGCTAGAAACTGCCTCCAAGTTGACCGACGGGTGTGTTTGGGGCTACAGCAACACGTTGTCGGGGATAATGCCGGACTTCTCACACGTTGAGCCGTGTGATCCAGACGGCCTCTGTATCTGGACAGGCGCAGGTAATGGTTTCAAAGCCGTCGACGATCCATCCTACCAGCTCCGCCCAGAAGCGATCGAGTCGGTCTTCATCATGTATCGCTTAACAGCGGACCCGATCTGGATGGAAAAGGGCTGGAAGATGTTTGAGGCTGTTTCCAAGCACACAAAGACGGACATTGCTCACGCACGTTTGGTAGATGTTATGACCATGGAGCCACAGCACGAGGACTCCATGGAAAGCTATTGGCTGGGGGAAACTTTGAAGTATTTCTATCTGCTGTACAGCGAGCCGGGCTTGATCAGCCTCGACGAGTTTGTGTTGAATACCGAGGCTCACCCTTTTCGATGGGCTGGCTGAGGCTGGAGGGATGCTCGCTCGGTGTTTGTACATACTATAATCGCATCATCTATTTGTGATGTAGGGGTTTGCACACATATGTACAACAGTATACTACTTACTACTACCACTCCTCCACAAACTACCCGCCTGCGCATATGCGGGAACTATCAAAACTCTCGGACTCGAGTTAGGCGCCAAGCGATCCAGGTACTCATTCAAGCCTGGGGTCGAACGCATTTTTAAAGTCGGCGAAAAACAAGGGCAACTCGTGCGCCTTTTGCCAGCTCATACAGCCAGTCATACATATTGCCTCGGCCTCCACTCCCGTCGTGATCACCATCAGTACGGGTTGACTTACCTACGGAGGCAGATATCCGATCATCATACGAGAGCCCCAAGCCTTGGGGATCCGTTAAGCCGCACCGCAAATTTATTTCCACCTGCTGCAGCTTCAACCTGGGCAAACTCCAGCGCAGCCAAGATCTAGCCAAGTTCCTCCCAAGACGTGAGGATAAATAAATAAATGAGCTCGCGTCCGCTATCCCCGCGAAAGCTTGCTGACACCACCACATACGTTCGTTCGTTCATCAGCTGCTGCTGCTGCTGCTGCTGCTTTCTCCGAATCTCCTTCCTTTTCTTGTCTGTCGACCGCTTCAGCCAAGTGAGTCCAAAAGACGGCACGGCTCGGAGGTTTCTGTCTGTTTAAGAATGAGTCGAGTGCGAGTTGTTGTCCAAGTGCTGCAGGCGTTACTATACCGGAGCCGTGAGCTGCGGGATTAATACGAATCGAACAAAACATGAAAGAGAAAAAAGAACCCCGTGAGAAAAATATGAAGAGGATAAGGGCATTGGGGAGATAGGGGCTTTCTCGGATATCTTACTGTGCTCGATAATCTTGAAGCATTCAGGTATGTTCGTTCGACTGATACCTAAGACTGAGTGAGACAAGGTCGTAAGTCTCGGGCTTACGATTCGCAGAGATCGGGCCGCCCTCCTGTCGGCGACATCATTGGGTTAGACCTCGTACTGCGTTGCCTTTGTGACAATCTCCATCCGCTGCAGACGACGACCATGTCGAGCTTTCCAACAACTCTTGCGAAACTCCAGGCATTATCGCGGCAGTCTAGCTCGTGGATTCATCACCAGTAGGCTGATGTTCCCTCAAACCTCCATATACAAGGAGATGATTTTTTCCACTCCGGTGCTTTGGGACTCGATCTGGCGGTATTTAGACATGTTTTCAGCTGCAATGACTCTATCAAATCACGACATCCATCCTTATCGTCTTTTCCATAGTTGAACTGTCAAAAGCTGCAGTGCCAAGATGGCATACAGCTGTAAACCGAAGATCATCTCAGATGGGTCTGTTGGGCGAATATACCGCTGCTGATTGGACAGAAACATGGACAGGCAGCAAGCAAGGAGGGACCCGAGCTAGTAAATAGGCCCTAGATGTTAAGCGAACCTACCTTAGGAAGGTGGTTATTCGAGATTTGCGTGAGCTATGGCGCGTTATGCTCTGAGCCCGAATGCTATATTGCCTGAGATTATCCCCAAGGTTTGCTTGTCCCAAGTTCCAAGGCCACTATTGAGCTTGATTCAACCATCATGGGTACGTATGCTCGCTCCTCTTCATTCATGTACGGGTTCTGAGATTCAGAGATACTAAAGCTTAACAGCTCAACCAATAACGGCTGATGCCCAATTCAAAATTGGAGCAGGCAACACGATTGCTATCGATCAGCCAGGTGCGGTCGTGTACGACGATATCAAACGCTTGTCCGTGGTGGAAGCTCTCCACCATGACGAGTATGAGGGCAAGCCGACAGACGAAGAGCTGAGCAGCCTTCGTCGAGTGGCTGGAAAGATACCATTCTCAACATACTTTCTCTGCTTTGCCGAGTTCTGCGAGCGAGGCTCCTACTACTCCTCAATCGGAGTTATCAGTAACTTCGTGAATCGGAAGCTACCGGCGGGAGGAAATGGCTACGGCGCTCCTCCAAAGGGATCGCAGTCGACTGCGGGAGCGCTCGGGCTCGGGACGGTCAAGGCCACTGCTATTAACCAGTCTTTCAAGATGCTGGTGTACTGTCTTCCTGTTATTTTTGGCTACGTGGCAGATGTCTACACTGGCCGCTTCAGACTCATCTGCTACGGTGTCATTGTATTTGGAGTTGCTCATGCGCTGATGATTGCATCCGGTGCTCCGTCTTTGCTGAGAGACGGTAGCGCTGTGGCACCTTATCTGATTTCCCTCTACCTTCTATCAATTGGTGCCGGTAACTACCCGCTGCTTCTATGTCGATTCAGTATGGCTACCTGACCTTAATCTCAGCTATGTTTAAACCTTGTATCGCCCCTGTACTTCTCGACCAGATCCCAGACACAAAGCCTGTTATCGAAGTCCTGAACGACGGCGAAAGAGTCATCGTCGACCCCGAATCGACCACCGAGCGCGTCGTATTATGGTTCTACCTGTTAATCAACGTTGGCGGGTTTTTAGGCGTACCCAGCAGCTACCTCGCAAAAAGGGTCGGGTGGATGGCCACCTTCGCTCTGCCTATGGGAATCTACCTCCCTCTGCCCTTCGTCCTCTGGTTCATGCACAAGAGGCTGATCCTCTATCCCCCAGGGGGCAGTGATCTGCTCAATTGTTTCAAGGTCCTCGGAATCTGCTTCAAGAAGAACATGAAGAAATTCGGTCGGAAGGGGTTTTGGGAGGCTGCTAAGCCTTCTGTGATGGTCTGTTGCCACTACTCTACTCGTGATATTTTCTTTCCTTCTTTGTTTCTTTCTACCAGATACTGATCCAACTACAGGCTGCACATGGTGGCCCAACAACTGTTCCATGGAATGACCAGTTCGTCGACGATGTCCGAAGGAGTTTCCAAGCTACCGGCATGTTCTGCTTCCTTCCGATCCAGTAAGCACAACAGGGCTACTATCAGCTATATCTCTCTCCTCTTTCCCTTGTCTCGGAGTCCTCAGCTCCCAAAACTACCCTTTCGACTCTTATTTAGAAACAAACATTTTTTTTTTTTGCTGACTTCCCGATCACCTAGGTTCATCAACGATAACGGTCTCGGCATATCGGCTGACGCAACGTCAACAATGCTGACTACCAATGGCGTACCGAACGACTTGCTCGGCAACTTCAACTCCTTGTCTATCATCATATTCATCCCGATTCTGAACTATGGCATCTACCCCTTGCTACGCAGGAGCCACATCCACTTCGGACCAGTCGCTCGCATTACTCTAGGTCTATTCTTGAGCTCCGTCGGTGGCGTCGGATACACCGTCCTGAACCGTAAGCGCGGCCCCATCATCCATACCCCTCTGAACCATCTCCTTGGAGGGTTACCTACCTACCAAAACCCACTTTTCCATTCGAACAATCCAACTGACCCTCCGAGCTGTGTCCAGACTACGCCTACAAGCTCGGCCCATGCGGCAACCGCGGAAGCAGCAGCACCTGCGTCGACGCCGACGGCAACTCCCTCGTGGCGCCCATCACCATCTGGTGGATGGCCATCCCCTACGCCCTGGGCGGCATCTCGGAGCTCTTCGCCAACGTCCCGGCCTACGGCATCGCGTACTCGCACGCCCCCAAGAACATGCGCAGTCTCGTCATGGCCCTCAACCTCTTCTCCACCGGCATCGCGTACGCCCTCGGCCTGGCCTTCTCGGGCCTCATCAGGGACCCGTACCTGACGTGGGATCTGGGCGGGCCGGCCATTGTCGGCTTTGTGGCGACGGCGCTGTTCTGGTTCTTGTTCAAGGATGTGGATAAGGAGGAGTATACTGTTAGTATTAATGATGATTATCATCTTGAGCAGAGGAGCGAGGGGAGCTCGGTAGGGGAGCATAATGAAAAGAATGCTGTTGGGCCGAAGACGAAGGTCTAGATGTAGGGTGGAAGGAGAAGGGACGGCGGGATGAATGGATGGATGGTTGATACCAAGGAGTCGAAACGAAGTGGCCGCTTAGATGATTGACAGTCAATATTCTCCCCTGTTGGAAACCTGACCTATCTCTACACAGTTCTCATTCATAGTGCTGGCTGGGGCCAAAAGCTCCCAAATTAAACATATCAGCACGACAAAGGTTGGTATTGAGGCAGTTTTTATAAAAAAAAAAGATAAAAAAAAATTGGCCAAAAAATTGACAAAATTGGCAAAACTTAACCGGAAGCTCATATACTATCATGAGGTTCCAGTTTACAAACCTAATTGAATAGGTTTTCCGGTATACTAAAGACGACTGGCGGGAAACAGGTGACCTGTTCTCAGCGGCATGGCGAGGTACGCCAACTGAGCCATCGGCTCTGTTTCCCGCCAGGTGAAAGCAGTCATGGAGCTGGGTTATATGAACTGGTGAGTTTTTTCTCCACCCCTTCAGTTTTGATTAGCGCCGCTGCAAGTAACGGGCTTGGAACCGCGCTGGCGGATAAGACAAGTTAATGATTTGTATCGACGAGGGCTGGAATTGGTCCGATTTGGCTATGGCTATGGAGCTACAGAAGGAGAAGGCAAGTTCTAGATGGTATGTGTATGTTCTGAGAATGGATCAAGTCCGATTCGTTTTCTGCTTTGGCGGGTTGCAGTTCGGAAAAGCGTGGAATTTTATGGACCGTTTCGATTCATAGACATGGTGTTGCGGATGCGTGACAAAGATTTTCTTTGGATTATATGTCTGTCTTCCAGCTAAAATGAATCATCGTCGCCTTTACAAGTACTGCTTGCTTTGTACCACTACAGGAGCTTAAATTTGTACTATGTGGTGGTGGTGGTGGTCTTTTGAGGAAGTCATTGTAGCTGAAAGAATCATTTCTCAAGTGCCAGCGAACTTGCTAGAGCAGGCCTGCCCATACTGACGGTCTCGAATGTTCTTGGATCCTCGTACATATATCTGTGCAATGCAGTCATAAATACCCTCCACCTCTGCATCGAGATCAACCAGACACTCCACCCAGCAACCCCCTCAAAAAATGAGCAACTCTACACATAATCTCCAGCAAGCCACTCCGGCCGAGCTCACCGGCATCGAGCGCCAGAACCTGACCCTGGCGTCACAACCACCGACCATCGACGCCCTCCCATTCCCGTTCCCGTTCGTCCTGCGCGAGAGCATCGACCAAAAACCGCTGACCCCCTCGGAACACCAGCTGTTCCTAGCCCTCGTCCACATCAACACGACGGCCCAAGCCTGCGCCGCCGCCATGAAGCTCGACGTAAGTTCAAACCTGTACAAGCTGCTCGGCCAGCTCCTAGCCTGGCGCGGGGAGTTCCATGGCCCAGAAGAAGAAGAACAAGAAGGGGGAGGAGGAGCAGTGCATGACGGTGATGATTCCCGCGACCGGTCACGGGCGCCGGTCGTGTTAGATGAGGCCATCGTGGCCAAGTTCCAGCTGGTGGAGTTGCTGTTCGAATCCTGCCGGATTCTGCCCTCGGACGATGTTGATTATTTTGCGAATTTTGGGATGGTGTTACTCCATCAGATGTCGACTATCAACCCGTGGGTACCGGCCAGACTTGCGCTGATGGTGTTTGTGCTCGAAGTCAGGCAAAATTTGAGAAGTGAAGATTTTGGATCCGTTGCGGATTTTGGGATGGGCATACTCAAAGGAATGAGCAATAATCCTGAGGAGAGCGATAAGAGCTATGAGGAGAGCGATGAGGAAAGCGATGAGGAGAGCGATGAGGAGAGCGATGAGGATTGCGAAATAATCATGGGAGATAGATCTGCGGATATGGAGACGTAGGAAGAGTTAGACCTTGGGGACTCCGTCTAAGACTGGGCATGGAGGCCCGGTGCACTTTTTAAATGCTCTGTGGTGGCATTAACAGTAGATGATGTTGCCATGCCTAGTTTGAGCTAGCATTGAAGGAAAAAGTTTGGTCCGAGGAGGCCGACCGCATTTGGCAGACCTCGTAGCATCAGCATTTAAGAAATTCTTAGGCCTTTCATCTCTGGGGTACGAGAATATGATGATACAAGTGAGGAAATCGATCCCCCCCGTCTTGGCTCGCGATCGCGATCTGTATCGCTAAGCGAGAAATAGAAGGGACACCAAACAAACATTACGGAACCCAGTAGCTGGAGCCAGCGCCACGCCTTCAGCATCGCAAGCCCCCTTCCCGCCTCCATTACACAATCTAAGCCATTCATTCAACCCCTTACCCTCAAATCAACCACCATCAAAGCATAGAACATTAAAACTTAAGTAGCTTGATCGGCTATTGCTACGGTTTGACTAAGAGAAAGAAAGAGAGAGCGAAGACAAGACAATAGGAAGAAGAGAAGAAGTATACACACGAACTAATCGGATAAGCACCTAAACAATCCAACGCTCGGAATCGGATCGAGAGCCTCCCTCCTCTCGCTTAGATAGGATGGATAGATGGGATGATGGAGTACACTTTTATTTTAGCGGTTGTAAGGGGAAAGTAGGTAGGAGTCAATTAGCATAGCATACAACAAATAAACGGATAGATACAAAAAAATAAACGAAACGAAAACTGAATCGGAATCTGAACAAAAAGCGTGGGAATATAGGGTGAAGGCATCCAAGGTCACGTGGCTGTGCTAGGTAGCCGGCCTTGGCACCAGCATATAGCTCTCCCTCAGCTAGAATAGCTGACCTCTTCAGACTTCACGAAAACCATTGGTACCCCTATTTATTCGTACTTCTAATATCGGTACCTGTGATACAGATAGAAGCAAGAGAATATGCTCGAATGAAACGCATATGATATAAAAGGATAAATAAAAACTAAAAGACTCTTTATTACTAGGATATCTCATTGTTGCGATATTCCTTGCTTGCTGTCTATCTCTCTGATTGCGAAGGAGCGGATAGATAAGCAAGACTGAGTCATATAGCGAAGTCTTCGATGAATATACGTGTAAAATATCCGAGGAAGCGACCAGCGCCTACTAATTCCTCCCACCTCCCAAACGCTTAAACGCTCAAACGCCTAAACGCTCAAATGGAAAAGTACCTATCTATCTATATATTTATTTTTTGCCAACTGCGACCCAATTCAGAACCATCGCCTCGCCTCAGCTCCGCTCGCTAGTCTGAATACCGTGAGCTACCCAGAGTTCATCGACCCTCCAGCATCATCCGCCCGTCGCTCGACATCCTCCTCGCTCATCAATGACGAGCATGAAATGGCTTTTCGAATCGCACCAACAGCGCCGGGGATGATGCTCTGGCGCTTGATGCTCGTCTGCTGGGCTGCCGCGATCGGGAGCTGCTTCCGAGTAGGAAGCAAATCCCACTCGGAGCTCCTCCTACTACTACTACTACTCCCCCCAGCACCCACCTGATTCCTCGTCGTCCGCTCCCTCTCATCCTTGAGCTTCGTCTCGCCGTGGAAGCTGGACGGCCGGCGCCGCTGCTGTACTCCCGGCGGCACCGAGACACTGGTGTGCAGCTGATGCTGCACGTCACGGAACCGAGCGGGCGTCAAATCGGCAGTTGAGATCGAGGTGCCTGCCAGCAGCGCTCCCGCGCGCTCCTCTCTGTCCACCAACTTCCGCCCCGGGACACGCACCCTCCTACCACTATTCTTCCACGGTCCAGACGCCCCACCCGTACAGCTCCTCTCCAAGGCCGGAGTGATATGCGGAAGCTGAGATTTGAACGCCAGTTCCAAGATCCTCAGATTCTCCCTGTCGTCCTGCTGTTTGCCGTCCGCGTCCAGCGCCACCCCTTCGTCCCGGACGGCTGCCAGATCCGACTCCTGGAACCTTTGGACGACGTCGGGGTTCAATTCTTTCTCGTGAATGGCGTAGCCATCCATGATCCGCACGCGCAGCTTGCGCGGGAAGGTGTCGCCTTTAGTGTTGAGGAACGAGATTATGAATCTGCGGATCTCGCGCGCCTCTTGCGTTCTACGGAGGCGGTGGGCATCGATGGCGTGTTCGGTAGGAGGCATCAAGCGGGTCGTGTCAAGGATAGTTGGGAGAAAGGCGACGGAGAAGTTTGAATGAGGGGCCGAGGAACGGGAACGAGTATTTTCAAGAAACGAGGGGGTAGGGTAGGAGCGGAGAGAGGCGTGGGCGTGAATGGAAGAGTAAGGTGTGAGTGGAGGGATGTGGAAGGATGGATCATCGCCTTCGGGCGTGGTGAGGATGATGGAGATAGGGGCTCGAGAGCTGGGGGCGTGAATGAGGATTGTAGCAGAGCAGCTTCTGGTTCGGCAGGTTGGAGGACGAGTTGGGCGTGGTGTGCTGGATGTTGATATCCGGGTTGAGGAGGAGGATGAGTAGAGTTCGTGGATGGTTGCTAGAGTTGTGGTCGAGCCGTTGGAGGCTTTGCTATCTGTTCGCATGGGTAGATTATCTGTGGACGTGGATCCGGATGGTGCCCAGTCGTCCGTACATGTTGTGAACTTTGAAATCTGGGGTAAGACTAGTGGAGGTCCTTTCTTTGGTTCTTTCGTCACAGTAGATCCGACGTTCTTCATTTTCAAATTCTCTGAGGAGAACTTATCGGCTATGCTGAGTTCAGGTGGGCTCGGAGGTACCTCCTGTTGACGGGTAACTCCATCTTTCTTTTCCTCGACCAACAACCGCTTTTGTTTTGAAGCCTGCTTCTTTTTACGTCTTTTATCGCCTAGTCTAAAATTGTTAGAAACAAGCTCATTGTCAAGGGAGAATGCTTACAATGCCGACACGGCTAGTCCCAACCATGATAGGTACTTCATAAATCCTCCCGTCGAAGCTTTGCCAACGTCTTTCCAAATGCACGCGACTCTTCACCGTCTGACAACTATCATGCCCGGGTCCGGCAACTCTTCGATATGTTTCTTAGTTCAAGTTCTGTGCTGGGACGAGCTATGTAATTGATCAAGAAGTCTGGGGACAAGTTCTCGGTTGATTAGGAGCTCAATCCTACTTCCATGTAAATCTCTCAGAACTTCCCCTTGGTTACTTCTTCCAGTTAAGGCTGTCTTAGTACCACTTGGCCGCATTTGGAGTCCTCGCTTATCCGTGTGCAAGCGCGTGGCTAGCTGTGCAACTCTGAAGATCTCTCGATAGATAATTGAATTGAGCATGGGAGAGAAGATGTTTTCGCCGCGAGAAACTTTGACGAATCATTTAATGAGATTTGAGATTAGAGGGAGGAAGGCTGAAGTACGGGATATCGAATTTCCTCTGGTCGGCCCTGTGGCGTACGTTATTTCTTGGATGTGGAGCCCCAGATAGATATAGGTATTCGACGTGGGGGTGTGGGGGAGGAGGAAAACTCGCTTGTGATTTGGTACGCGATGGAACATAAGGGCATTTCTTGGGATCTTAAGGCATTCTTTCAACTTTGGATTAAAAGCCTCGTCAGAACAGAAGGTCAAAAAAAAGAGAAGAAGAAAAAATAGATAAAGAGAGACGGGAAATTCGGAGCCATGTGACTCTTTCAGGGCCTTCAGCTACTCAATCGCTTGCACTTGCAGGGGGGATTTTCGCCAATACTCGCCCAGTTGGGTATGGCCCGGCGGATGCTGCTGCATAAGATGATTTACTGGAGCAGCGCTATGTATTTGAAGCATGGGCTTTTAGACGGAAGATACTCCGATTTTGCGCGGCGAGGAATACCAAGAGAGTTCGGTTTGGCGAATGTTGTCATGGTTCTCGTTTAGCGATGTTTCCATCCTTGCAAGCCAGACTTTGATAGGTATCTAGTACACTCTCTCTTTACTTGACCCATCAGCAAATAGGGCCACAGGAAAAAAACCCCCGCGTGCCAGCCGCATATCCGGGGGCAGCAAGAGCCGCTGTAGTCCAAACAAATTCTTTTCTGCCAATGTATTTAGCTGCATCTGCCAGTCGCTCAAGAGAACTTGTTGCTGTCATCTAGACGAAAGTGGAATCCCGTCTGCAACAGGAGGGGACATGCTGCAGCCTGCAAGGACAGCAGGATGATCTCGAATAATCTGCATCGTATCAAATATACTATAGGCGTAGCAGGCGTTCTTCAGCGACTGACCTCGCTTCTGATTTCCCAAACCTTAGCTTGAGTATCAAGTCTTTTATGACCACAAGCGCTTCAACGAGTGCACCGTCGTCCAGACTAAGAATCAACTCTGTGACCTCCAATCGAACGGCCAAGATGCATCTTCACGCTCTGCTTGTGCGACCGAATAATGCCAACCACGTTTGCTGCATCTGCCAGCTTCCGCTGCACAGCAGAACACGGCAAATGCACCGCATGCTGTCAAAACAGCATGCACACACATCTTTGCATTTTGCAGGGCTGTACACCTGAAAATGCGGAAAGTGGCCCTAACGGGCCGAACGGAGCCACGCCAGCTTGCATAATTGGGGCCTGAGAGAGAGATCTTCAGGTCCCACCGCTTTCCGCTCACCGTCTTCTACCTGCCTGTCAAAGAAGAGAGACACTAGCTTGAATGGACGGCGTGTACCGATGTCTGGATTCCACTTCGAGTTGTAGCGTGGTTGACATGTACGTCTGGGATATGTTCATCAGCAGGGCATCACTCAGAGGAGGAAGCTTTGCGAGGATCGACGCTGGGGTGGATGCGAAGTATATCGTGACGTCCGTCCGTACATGTGCCTTGCATCTTCTTGCATCTTCAGACTCGAGAGTCTCGCGGAAATGTGTTCGCTTCTGTATCCAAAAATCAACAAGGACCCCTTTCCCTTCCCCGCTACCCCTATGAAGAGGGAGAGAGAAAAGACACAACCATGTCCTCTCGGAACATCTTCGGCCCGTTTTAAGCTTAATCGATAGCCGAGCCAGCCAGATGTCACTGGGGACTCGAGCACGGCCTCAAACGATCCTCAAACAATGCCCACGCCAAAACACCTTCAGCACCAGCACCGGCACCAGCACAGCAGGACCAACAAGCACAGCTCTGTACGTACCAGCTCTGGCGCAGCTGCTACGTGTTAATTCGTATCAAGTCGAGTGACTCGAGTCAAGGCAATGGTGGGGTCAGATAGATGAGAAGCAGGTTCTTCTTCTCCGTGAGCAGGAAGTGTGATCAAGGACAAGAAGCAGGATACTAACCTCACAAAACAAAGTATTTCCAACGCCAATCTCCTCCTTCTTTCTAGGCATATTGCAGGAGATCAAGATTCTTTCGAGATCTGATCTGTAAGCACTGCTAGGAGTTCAGGGGCAATACATGGGCGACACAATCAAAAGCGGCCTCGACACATACTTTCGCGCAACCTACCATCAAGCCTTCTTCTGCCCACATAAGTATGGCGACAATGACAGCCGCGACGGTGCATTCCCCTTCGTTTCGAGACTCGTCGACTTCCCATACGCTCTCCCAACCGGCTGACTTCGAGGGCGAAGTCAATACGAACAACGATATTCCGTCTCAAGCAGTGCTCAAGAGCGTAGAGAACGTGTCGATTTTAGATCAGGAGGGGAGGTCGATACCGTTCAAGAATCTGTATAGCGGGCCGAATGTTGCGAGGAGGGTAATGGTTATATTTATAAGACATTTCTACTGTGGCGTATGTTTCTCATCTTGATCTTCTACCAGCTCGATTGCCACACCCAAAGAAGTCTAGGAAGCGTACTGATGCCTACCCACATCTACAGAACTGTCAAGAGTATATTCGCGCCCTCACCTCCTCTATCACCCCATCCAGTCTCCTTTCCCTCCCTATCCCAACCTTCATCGCGATCGTGGGCTGCGGCGCACCCTCTCTCATCCCCATGTACCAAGAGGCAACCTCCTGCCCGTTCCCCATCTACGCAGACCCTACCAAGAAGCTCTACTCGGCCCTCGGCATGCTGCGCACACTCAACATGGGTACCCGACCCGAATACCAACGCAAAGACCAGTTGAGCATGGTGTTCGAGAGTGTCGTGCAGGCTATGAAGAAGATCAAAGACGGACAGGCGCTAAAGGGGGGGGATATGCACCAAGTTGGGGGCGAGTTCCTGTTCGAGCCCGTGGACATGAATTCGCCTCTAAACACGCCCGAACCGGAAGCGGATTCGGGGGACAAGCAGCTGGGCGATGGTGCGAAGGCGCAGCAGCAGGAGGGCGGGTGGAGTGAAGAGAAGAGGATTACGTGGTGTCACCGTATGAAGAACACGAGAGATCACGCCGAGATCCCGGAGCTGAGAGAGGCCTTGGGCCTGAGCGGCGAGGGCGCGAAGGGCAAGAATGAGAAGCGGTGGTCGAAAGCCTTGGTTGAGCGGAAGGGCACGGGACTGAATACTGTCAAGGGCACTGTGGATAGCCCGGACGAGGCCTTTCGGAAGAAGGTCAGGGAACTGGATGAGGGGGTTGGTATCAGTGCGCAGGAGAACCATGTGCGCTGAACCAGTGCCTTCCTTTAGGGTGCAGTCGTGGTTGTACGATTATTTGGATGGAGCTTCATCCACCCTCCACAATTTCAGAGCCTCTACCTGCTTGGGAGGCTGTTAACCAGACAGAGAACATCCGTCTGCTGACAATCAGAGATTCACTTTCACAAAATACCATATCAGCATACAATAAGGAAGATACGCCCAGTCAGTATCGGTATACATACATACATACAGGCGTCTTTTGCTCTTTTCTCTTTTCAGCCGCCGCATTTGCTTTGTTTTGATTTCATATTCATATACCCAGCAATCCATCCATCCATCCATCCCCTTCCTTCTCTTATCTTCTCTTCTGATTTTTTTTTTTTTCTTCTTCTCTTCTCTTCGAGGTCTATCTATAGATCTCTATACCTTCTTATTCATCATTCATTCATTCATTCATCCATCCATCCATCTATCCAACTCTCTTACATACACCCACCCCACTTTCTCATATATACCCCATCCCATCTCAAGAGAGTACAGTAGGAACCAGGCTCTTGAAGCTGTGTACCTATTCAAAGTACGTCTTTCGCAGTTGGCCGACCGAGTATATACGGAGGGAGGGAGGACCATCAAGTGATGGTCTCGGCAAAGCAAAGCAAAGCTTCAGGTCTAGGCCTATTTCTAGAAAAATAGTACCATATTGATATATTTGTAAATCTATCTATCTATATATACCTTTAGTGAGTGGCGGACTGGTGTACCTTCTTACCTAGGTAGGTAGGTAGTGTAGTTGGTATTCGAACTTCAGCAACCCACCCATCCTTTCCTTATTTACCCTACCCTACCCTACCCTACCTCATCGGGATTCCGCTGGAGGAAACAAGTGCTTGCTAACGTGAGTGGGTCAGTGAGTTACGAGTATAGCTCAGTGGGTGAATGAGTGAGTATACCGCACAGCTACCTAGGTATCCCATCCCGAGAAGAAAACGGGCCAGATAGGATAGAGCAGATTCTTGACGATGTAAATTAATTAATTGTAATTATTGATTATCAATCCGCATGTCTATGACCTATGTCCCCCCTACTGAGCTCAACTTTCAAGCCCATGGATACCTAGGTACTATTATACATTAAAGATAAGCGCCAACCTCTACTGAAGCCTCCAGCGCAAAAATGAAATTTTTTTTGGTGCTCACTGCTCGACACCAGAGTTAGAGTCACCGAAATGCCAGTAAGTCTTCCAAATTAAGAATGTAAGAATGAGTAGTGCAGTGCAGCAGAGAAAGACGCTTCCGTATTTACACGCCATCGCTAGATTAGGAGAACGCAGAAGGAGGTTCAAAGAGGAAGAGCTAGAATTTACAACTTCTTGGAGGCTTAGAGGAAGTATACAACGAACAAGCAGAGCGCGGCAAGACCCGCGCCGGGAGTGCGGAAGTGGCCTATTGCGTCGTTGCTCAGGACAGGGCCGGTGCTGGACGGGCTCGCTGTGGGACCGACTGGAGTGGCTGTCGCAGAGCCAGAGCCAGAGCCGGATGCAGGTACCGTGGTTGGAAGGGTCCCATTTCCGCTGGGGACAGGAGACCCGGATGGACTGACGGTACCAGGGGTTCCTGAGGGCTGGAAGTAGGTAAATGTCAGATCCGTGGAGGGACCTGAGGGCTGGACGTAGGTTGATGTCAGACCCGTGGGGAGACTAGGTGGGAGAACGGGGGAGGCTACAAGTCGTTAGTTTCGAAACTGACAGCTCAGACTAAGTACTTACAGTCCGGGCAATATGTGGTCGTGAAGACAACAGTGCTGGTGGTGGTTGTCCCATCGGTAACGCAGGTCGTAGTAACGGTTCCCGTAGAGGTGATCGTTACAGTCGAATGGCCTGGGTTGACGTAAGTGCTGGTGATGTTTGACGACAATGAAGTGCTAGGACCAGGATTTAAGTACGTCAAAGTGGTGCTAGACTCGGGTGTGCTCGAAGGTTGAACATAGGTCGAAGTTGTCGTGCTCACATTAGAAGATTGAGAAGATGGGACGTAGGTCGAAACTGTCGTGCTTTCAACGGAGGAAGAGGACTGCGAGATCGGTATACAATCCGGGAGCGTCAAAGTACCGTTAAATGTACCGGAACCGCCTCTGTAGGACACGGGAAGAAGTCAGTCGCTGCCTCTCAAAAGTTTTCGAGGAGAAGATAAGATGTGTCCCTGGATACCTTCCTAGGACAACCAAGGATAGGGGGGGGAATATAGGACTTTCACAATACATACTGGACAATGCAATTCTTGGAGCAAGCGGCAATTCCACTTGTGGCAGATGACTGCCAGCAGAGGGACGATCGGACGCCAAATGGGAAATATCCAGCCAAGTTATCGTTGCAGTTTCCAGGTTGCCCAACCCCGTCTGTACATCTGATGATGATGTTTGTACCGAGAGAATCACCCGCACAGAAGGCGCCATTAAGTTTATCAGCTGGGCAGACGAATTTATTGGTGACTGGGTCGCTGATATTGAGTTAGCTAGGTCGTATCATGCATGTGTAGGCTAGGAGGCGCTGACAAGGTGACCTGCGCAGAGGCAACAGCGGCCGTCGCAACGAGAATGAGGTAGTAGATCATTTTGTAAGTATCCAAAATTTCCGTCTGGCTACCTTACGTTGAAACGAGAGTCGGATCAAAGATCGAATCGAAGGGCTCTTGGTCAGTAAGCGACAGTGAGTGAGGATGTATGTTGTTGGAAGTGACGCCGAGATTTGGATTTGAGAAAGGGCAGCTGTGCTTGGAAGAGGATTATTCCGTGAGGAAATAATCTTCGACTCAGAGGCAGGTACGACTTTATATCATCTTTCGGTTCCGTGGCAACGAAAAGGTATCAGCTTACAAGTAGATATGGCAGGGACAAACAAGGATTGAAGCAAGCATTGAGCGAGGTGGCTGAACTGCGGCTTCAAGGATGCAAACGACGAACACGAAAGCAACAACCAAGGTCAGTGGTGGATTTGAAGCCGCATATTCGGCCGTACCGCTTTCGGATGGAATGTCAGGGCTGGGAGAGTATGCCTGAATGTCTATTAGTAGTATCTACGACCTACAATACTGCCGCATTTGAGCCAAAGGTTGGCTTCGCAGCGAATAAACACACACTGTCCCTGCTAAGAAGTCTACACTCAGCCACCTGCTCTACCAACTATTTGGTCATGCATACGAGCAACACGAAGCCTACTATGTTCAACAATAAAGAAGATGGAGGACGATACTCCGTATTGATATGATAACTCGATACGTTTTCGGTTGGTTATTTTCAGACGAAAGAGATAACAAAACAAATCTCTCGGCTATGGGGACAACTACATCGTCGCACGAGCGGGTAGCGGGTGCAAGGATTGACCAATGGACCCGATGGGAAATCGTCGCCACAGGGTCTCCCACTGGTCGCGGGGTAACGATACTTCAAATATCCCCAAGCTCTACTATCTTCTTATCAACTCAAGATTTATTTTCGTCTTGAAATTATCGTCACTTTCCCTCATATAAAACATTCTCGCTTCAAGAGCCGTCGAGTAAACTGCTATATCTCACTACCTCAGTTGCGCACCCACCTCGTATCCCCGCCGCGCAACCATGTATGATTCCACAATAAACTTCACACTGGATACAATGTGTCCATGTAAGTATCAATCTGTTTTGCACACCTGCTGATTCACATGACATGGGCCGAAAACAGACTGACCGGATACAGTGACATATTTAGTCAAGAACCGGTAGGCGGTTGTTGTTGATACCAGGTATAAGCTGGCTTGCTAATCAGAGAAAATCTGCAAAGGCTCGATGAAGTTCACCTTGGAGGATGCATCGGTCTCCCGAACGCGGCGGAATGCTTAGAGGTATCAGTCTGAGAACGAATGATTCTCCGGTAGACCCTTATCCGGATTTCTTAGGGCAATAGAGAGCAAAACATGGCATCAGAACTCGACGCAGCTGTCGACACATGACTTGGGTCCGGAGAGTTCTGGATAGCCAGAAACAATAACACGCCGCTTTCGGAAACACTCATGATTCGAAATCTATTAATAGACCCAAGTCTGAATCCAGGGGCTCAAAAACTTTTGGAGGGGCCAGAAAGAGAACTGGAATGTAGATCCTGTGGCATCGCCCCTACGTAAAATTTGGACTGCACTCTGTATGATTTTGGCCACTGATTCGGACCGAATAACATTAGAAAATGGGAAACAAAGGAATCTATCTATACCTTCACAATCGTCTACCGTCCATACCAACTCTACCCCGAAGCCAGCCAAGAAGGAGAAGATAGGTACGAATGGTACAAGAAGTCTCGCTATGGCGACTCGGAAGAGAAAATGCAGACGTACATCACCCTGATGACGGCGTATGGAGCCACGGCTAGCATCGACTGTATGCCTCCCGGCCTCCGCCCTCGCTTAAACCCCCTTTTCCTTAAACGAAACTCAATATTGACTAGACGTCGACCTGCAGACAAATTCAACGGCACCGTCGCAAACACCCTCAACGCACACCGCGTCATCCAGTACTCCCAAGCGAAATCCGGGCCCGCTGTGGCAGACAGATTGACCAGCTCCCTCTACCGCCAGTATTTCGAGGAGGAGAAACACCCGAGTAGCAAAGAGACGCTGATGACCGCATGCCAGAAGGCGGGGATCGCGGAGAAGGAGGCTGCGGATATCATCGGAGACGCGTCTGAAGGGCTGGTGGAGACAAAGACGGCCATTCGGGAGCAGGCTTCGAATGGGGTTGATAGTGTGCCGTATGTTGCGATCGAGGGACGCCGGCGGGATCTGACCATCCAGGGGGCAAGTGAAGTGCACGATTATTTCAAGGCGCTGAACCAGATCTTTAAAGAAAGCGTCTAGATTGAGTCGCCATCGTACGTAGCTGTTGAGAAAACGAAAAGGGACAACTCGATTTGTTTATACCGTCGTATCGAACATTTTTTCGTGAGAAAAAGTACTGGGTGCTATGGTGCAGGGAAGCTCGAAAAACCTCAAAGAAGTCTAGAGGTAAATTACAGCTTGGCTAGCTATTCTTCCCATCGCCGCTGAATCCGGCAACTTGAGGGTACGCTGCTAATCTACCCGTTTCAAAATGACGTACAAATGCTCTTACCAAGTACTCTCTTGGTATTTGCTCTACAGTTACTACCTACTCACACGGCCAAAAATGCCTGCACGGTACCCACAGTCATAGCCCCAAACGCAAGCATGTAACTCGCAATCGAAAAAGCATCCTGAATACTATGGCTTTTCACAGTCCACAGGACCCCAACCGTCAGGCTCCCCAATCCGAAGAGCAGAAATCCGAGCAGCCACAGCTTCCTGGCATCCCAACCCTCGATTAATTGTAAGCCCCAGCCAGGCTTGATCCCACCCTTGCAAAACCTGGAGAGACACAAGGGCTCTTCCTCGGCACAGTCCGGGTGTTGGAAGACGTGCATTAGGTAGTTGGTGCCGATGGGCGGTATCGTCTCGGGGGGTGTATATTTGTATACCTGTATCGACGTCCGAGGGCGGCGGCAGTACGTTCCGGCTCTTGAGTTCGATGAGCTCGCTTTTGTACATCTCGAATTGGACGGATTGGATGCCTTGGAGACATCTGAGTGGAGAAATGCGAGTGACTCGGCGTTTGAGTTTGTAGTAGCTCTTGCGTACGATGAATGAAAGTGCTTTGTCTGTGCCGTTGTCAAGTTTGGTCAGGTCTAGCTGTAGTAGCCTTTCTTCGTATTTGCCCTTGTTATAGCATACCAGGAGGTAGATGAGATCAGCTGGGTTGCTTGGTGGAAGCTGCGGTTGAGAGCTACCGATTCCGGTTCCAGGGCAATGAGGTTGTATTTGATGCATTGGAAGATCAAGCCCTTTCCCCTCGCTTCCCTTTAATCCAAGTGAGCTGCAGATATTTTGAAGTAGCCCGATGAAAGAGAAACCAGAGCCACCAAGTACTGAAGACTGCCTTGGACCAATCTTTGATGAACGGCCAAGTCGTTGCTGGAGTCTGCTTGCAGCTCCGGGCTAAAGCTCCTGGAAATCGTTTGAAATCATGTGTCCGCATCTCTATTTGTAGGATTAGATCGCTCTTCATTCGGGCTGTGGAACATGGCTTACACATTCGAACTTTCCTCGCTGCCAGCCTTCTGGAGGTCCGCTTTCTTGTCTATTCAGAGCTGATATGGAATTTTCGATCGCGGATTCAAGAACACCCGGTAGTTGTGGAATATTCCTACACGCTCTCCATAGCGATACGATCAATGCCTTGCTGGGCACCTCCAGTGTCGATAGATTCGTATCATGTTTGCTCAGATCCGATTGCGAAAATGCACTCGCGGGATTGTCTGGTCCGATCTTTGATGCTTTTTATTCATATTGACCGATTCTGAGTTGGAAATTTCCATGTCGTCTTGATCTCTGGGAATTTTTTGCGCTGCTCATAAGAGCCTCTCTGTGTTCTTTGAAGAGCGAGTCTGCTCGAGCATCTTCGTGCAAGTCAGATCGAACGAGATCTTCAAGCGTGGTTGAGGTGAAAATGCCATCAAGTGGGTCTTCATCTTCTTGGAGCTCATTTTCCGAGAACTGCGTATCTGAATTCGAGGCCGTCTGGAGAATGATTGGTGGGAAACCTGCTACAATAACATTCTCATTTGTTTGTGGTGAGTCTTCCGCTGCTTTGACAGCCCTGGCGACTGGGTGAGATGTGAGGCTCATGTCTTCTCGGGTACCGACGTCGGATGAGATGTCTCGGCCCTATGATTGAACAATATTCGTGGGTAGCAGGATATGGGTAGTCTATCGAGCACCATGAGGGTTTGGGGGTTATTCTTCTTAAAACTTGGTGAGCCGGTCAGCTTGAGACTAAAACCTGTTCTTCATCGCTGCCTGCATGATCGTGACGGCCCAGGGCGTGTCTTCGATGATTCAGGGGCTCAACTGATTGCTAAGCGAGCTAATCGCAACATCAACTATAATACCTTTCTTATAAGAATATATATAGGTGAGTGCTAGTGATCTTCCTTTCAATTGATTGTGTTGGAACTGAGACCTTAGTCGGAAGCTGAACTAGCGGTCAGCCTGGTTGATTGCAGTAGTCAGCCTGGTTGACTGTGATCAACTGAGTCAACTCAGTCAAACGGGCCAAGTCACGTAGAGCCCGTTTGTACCTTCCGTTTGCATCGGTAGCTATAAGTAGCTACTACCTTATGTACTTAGATGCCATGCAATATCAACTAAATCCACTCGAACACTCGAATACGTATTCGGAACTTGCATCATCTTGTGATACCAGCAGATTGGTTTCTTCAAAGCTCCGTTTACAATGCTGTTAATAAGAAAGATACAGAGTGTCTCTCTCACGCCAACAAGCATGAACTCGCTTAATTGCTATCTTTTTTTTATGGCCAAGCCGGGAACTTGACGACGACCAAAGGCCATGACACTCATTGTCATTGATTAACAGAATTTGGAGAGATGATCAGCTAAGATATGACAGGGAAACGACGGGATGGGATTTCGAGGTCTGCCTGACAATGAAGTATAAGTTTTGGCACCGCTATAAAAGTCGTACCTTATGAGAAGTAGCTGCTTGAGTCTTTCAAAAGAACGATAAGGTGAATATCCTAAATTCATAACCTGACGATCGGCAAAAGTACACGGACACCGCATCCTCAAGTCTAGAATTCGTAGACAAGCTACTTAAGCGAACAGCTGCAATCACCTCGCTATGAAACACTCCGGACCGAATGAATGAGCTTCCACTCCCAGATTTAGAAATGCATAAAGTCTAAAATTCGTATGATGTGTGACTAGGGCAGCAGAGGACAAAGTCTGTACGACATCTTTTGATACGCTGCGCCAGAGAGCTCAGTCCAGAAAAGCCCCCAGGACTCCAGTACGAGTGGTATTGAGCGCCTACGTAGTTCAGAGTTTTGTTTCGATCGAGTTTGCGTTAATTTTAATAACACTTTCCTATCTAAATCTGAGATCCTTTTTTTTTACAAGCTTTCTAACCCCTAATTGACTTCGAAAACAATTTGGGCGACGACAGCATTTTTGTAAATGAGAACGAGACGAGTTAAAGAAAGGAATGGATAGGAAAAGAAGAAAATTGAAAGTGAGAGGAATCTATTCTATTGATTTATCTTATCTTCTTGTTCCAGATGAGATTAGTAGATTCGCAAATTCCATCGCTGAATGGATGTCTCCCCCTAGTTTTTCTCATTGGGCATGGCGGAGCCAGTCCGTCTCACGCCATCTTACTACGCTGTACGCACGAAATGGCATTGGATGTAGAGAAAAATCACAAAAGGTATAGACAAAGCTGCATTCTTGCTCTTATATAGAAGACTCACATCTCCACGTGACAAGTCCCAATCGCAGAATTCGAACTCCAATCAATCATCAGGCGGAAGGAAGTCTGACTCAAATTCTTAGTGTTGAATTCTCGGGAAAGGGAGAGGGGTGTATATATAACCCCAGATGGATACAATCATGGGGAGAAAAGGCAGACACAGTACCTCAATTCACATGGGAGCCTGAGAAGAAGTAGGAACATCCATCTGAGCGTTGAATATCTATGATATGGACCTATAAACATAGGTGTTCCAAGAATACCCTACCAAGAAATCTTCCGCATGAGTTTAAGACAGATGCCACAAATACATGAACAAGAACAGAGATGTGAGAAGTGAAAAGCAAAGCAAAAAGAATAACAGCATCAGATACGAAAGAAATGACAAGACTAAAAACCCCAACTCAACTTTTCGAAATATCTTTCGCCTAAAATTTCGATATACCTATAACTTTCCCAATGCACTAGAGTTGTCTTTATTAACGCACTCAAATTTAGATGAATTACTTTGTAGAGAACGTTCATCACTGCCTTAAGCAGTTCACACTTAGAACTTGCTGAGTTGATGGTTGATATTCCTTAAACAACTCGAGCAAGTTCTGTTGACGCTCGCGCATACCCCGAACAGGCTTGTTCTAGCATGTCACAGGCGCTCAGAATCTTAGATCAAGAGCAATAAATAATTTAAAATGTAATATCGTCCTCCCCGTCATGAGTGAATTGACAAACTCCTCAAGTCCTGAGACGTCCTCGCTGCTCCCGTAAATACTGGTCGTGCATTACTTGAATTTCTGCACTTGCCAATAAAAAAATTCGCTTAGACTAATCGGGCAGAATATATACCCAGACATCTGGTGTCCTTTTGAAATACGTCACAACTCTTGAAAAAAAATGGAGATAAGTTGGCTATAAATAAACGCATCCAAACCGTGCGCCTAAATAAATACCGCTGTACACCACTCTCCGATCTACTGCCCCATCCTAAACTAATCCCTCCACCCACTGGCGGCGAATGAATTAAAAATAGGGCCAGCCAGGATATTAACTTTGAGCGATTCCAACTCACAAGGTTTGGCTAGATCCTCAGGCATCCGATCCCCAAGCTGGTGTATCAGGATGGTCACTGAGGTTTCAGATTCGTGTTTTGGTTCCCTCGTAAAGGTTGATCTCGTGTTGGTGGGTGCGATTGGGGGGTTGTATTTCCGTAGCTGAGTTCACCTTTCAGAGGGGAATGGATCTGGTGTTAATGAATTTTGGAAGCGTGTTTTGATCTGAATCAAGAGGTGCAAGGAGCTTCCCTGCGTTGGCCGCCAGTTGATAGTTCTGACTGAGATTGGGATTGGGATCCGGAGAGAGATGGATTGTTGCAACTGACAAGAAGTTGGTGGTATACCCCAGAATACGTAGTAGTCCATGCACCTAGCGCGCCTCATTGACCAAGTCCCGTGCCATCAGGCGAGCTGGGCCAATTCGGTCCAGCTAGACCTGTTAGGATATGTATATACAAGGTAGACTATGTATCATAACATGCGTAAATGTCGGATGATTAAGATGAAGATGAAGAAGAAGACAAGTTCGGGGTCCGCATGCCCCAAATGTTGCGACGTCAAATCCCACGATAGCGCTTCTGCAAACGAACTGGGAGTTTATTTGTTCATTCGATCCCATCCCAGCCGCAATGGCAAGCTACTCTCATCCTAGTTCCAGGCCATGATAATAACACGCATCAACCCCCTTCAGAAACAGGCTTCCGAGGCTGCCACCTCCTCTTTACCATCCTCACCCATCTCCGTCGCCTCCACTCACCTCTCCGCCCTCTTCTCTTGCCCTCAGCATCACTCCCCTCCTCCCAACTAGGCAACGCTTTCTTCTTCCCATTGCCACTCAAATTCACCGGCGTCCCCAACCCACAGCCCTCCTCCCCAAACGCAGCGGACTTCTCATACTCGTACCGGATATCGTACACCCACCTCTCCCCCTCCGTCTCCACCTCCACGCCGGTGATAATGCGCTCCTCTACCCACTCCCTGGACCACAAATCCAGCGCCCACTTTTTCTCGCTCCACTCCCATCCTGGCGGCGGCTGCACATCCTCAAAGAATCGCGTGCCTTTGGGGCGGTCAGAGCTTAGCCGAGTTTCGCTAAGCGGGTCGTAGGGCGACGAGCTGAAAAGCCAGTTTTCCCATTCGCCAGCTGAGGATAGTCGTTGGAGCTCGAAAATCTCGACTTCGCGCGTCTCAGGCGCGGAGTCGAGGATTATGTCTCGGGCGATCCAAGATTCGAGGTAAGACTTTGCTTCTTTTTCACGCGGTGCCACGTGCTGTTTGTGCGTTGTGACGAGCTGGCGCTGGATGGTGGGGTGGCCGGAGCAGGTGATTGTCCAACCTATGGCTAGGAAAAGGAAGCGCCAGGGAAGGAGGTGGGAGGCGATGAAGAGGGTTAGTGCTACGAAGAAGGCGAAGAGGAAGAGTGTCGAGGAGAGGGGCTCGTTGGAGAAGTTTGTGGGTGGTGTAAGGATTGCGATGAGTTTGTCGTGGGCGCGAGAGAAGTCTTCCATACTATTTTGGAGGTCGCGCATGTTGCGAAAGAAGTCTTTGGAAAGCTCTTTTACTGGCTTCACGGTCGGTGCCGGGGCGAGAGGAGGCCCGGAAGCGCTGTAACCGAAAGATGCGGTGTGCGACGAGGTGGTTATGGCAGGTGGTGGTGCAGGATGACGGGCGATGAAGGCAGGGATGAGGAGGGCAAGGAGGATCACAGCGAAGGGGAGGACAGTGAGGAGGTAGGGATCTAGACATATGAAGGTGTAGATCGCTAGGAAGGAAAGGGTATGGGTAGGTGTGTTCCAGGATAGCAGGCGAATAACTTTCGCTTGAAAGACAAATACCACTCCGATGCGGGCATTGAAGCGACGGAAGTTTGCAGACATTGCAGGGAGGGAGAATGACGGTCTGGTCGAGAAGCCTTGGGTAGAGGAGGCTTCGGCGCGGGAAGAAGAGAGGTCCTTGGATGGGATTACTTGCTGGAGTAGTCTGACAGTACGTTAGCCTTGGCAAATGTAATGGGAAATTCTGAAGTGTACTTCTCAAGCAGCCGGTCCTGCATACTTGATCCTTTCTCGGATGTTTTCTGCTGGACCTTCTTCATATTCTCCTTCACATCCTTCCCATGTCTGTGGATTTGATCCCTCTTGCTTTCCACGTCGTCGGTCCTATCATCGACCTCCTCGGACAAATCATTCAGTGCATCAAATCTTATGACCGGAATGGGACTATCTCTGTTGGCGAAAGCATCGTGTGTGAATTCGTCCATGGTTTTGGATACTTCGCAGACTGTTTCGAGGACAGGAGGGGCAATAGAGCTTGAACGCTGATCAAGGCGCCTGCCTGGCTTGAGCACAGCAGTGCCAGATCTTCGAATATGTCTCGTACGGCGTCTGTCCTGGGGATTCTCGCCCCCGCTGATTGAACCGAAGTGATACCAGGCAGTTGATATCGAGAGGCGTTGTCTGCAGAGTTGTATAGTGCAAGCAATAGAGAGGATGTATGTAAATATTCACTGCATCATTCTCCTGGCTGGTTGCAGTTGGGAGGTTTGCAAAAGCTTCTTGGGACTGCGTAGAAGTAAAGCATAAATGTAGATGAATACTTACCGTAGTCGTGTCGTGGATGTACGGACGTAGGTAATAGGACAGGAATGGATGCAAATGCATACCGGTATGATGGATGGGAATGAGGCTGAAGCCCACCACCTCGGCTTCTATGAAGCCGGGGTATTGCCGAAGTCACCGTCTTCGTAGTGTCTGTGCCCATGAACGCGGTTTTGTGTGTTTACTTGTTCATCTCCCACGACACAACGCACGGTTGGCGGTTTTCTTGTTGCATTTGATATCATTTGGATGCGAGGGTTTCCGGATTCGCTTCTCTTCCCCCACAGATCTAGGTCGTTGGAGCTGCGGGTACCAGGGGTCACTGCGTTCTGACCTCGTCTACAGAAAGGGGGAGAGGATGGATGGGCTTCTTTATATACATACCACTTACGGGACTCGGGGCAGGGAGGGACGAGCAGGCGGCGTAGCAACCTACTTATCTATATGTATGTGTACTCCGTGCATATACAATGGATGGATCTACTGTGGTCTATTATCCAAGAGAACAAGAGAAATGTGATTTCAATGTACGGAGGAGGTGATGGTAGTCCTGGGACCCTTGTTTACTTCATTTACAACCTGTAGCTCATACTGATTTTATTATATGATAATTTCTCATTATATTAGCTACTTATTGTATTCTCTATCTTACTCACTTGCGACCCCTGCCTGTCGCAGTGTTTAGTTTGGATGGCCGACTGCAGGAACGGATATTCCACCTTACAGCCACTACCTACCTACCTTTCCAATCCTATCCTCCTTGTTAATCGCATCGCATTCCATTCCCCATTCGTATCACATTAAATTCACCCCATACCCAAGGAGAGTCTGGTTGGCTGCGCTGGTAAGTTCGTACTTATATTTATATTGACATTGACCTTGACATGTACTTTCTTTGAGTTTTATCTCCGATGCTTGCCTGAGCAACGCCGCAACTGCTTTGACCGACATCACACCTCCCCGTCCTGACCTCAGCACAGTGCAAACCAGACCAGACCAGGTTCGCCAGCATACCCGGGCTTTCTTCTATCCTGTCTGGCCTTGATCGATTCCACTGGAAGAGAACCTGCGCACCTTTTCCGACCGATTATTTTGGAAATGAGATAGCCCCGCCACCGCCTCGGCCCTTGGACGGACTGAGCTTCACTCACTACAAGCACACGAACGGGAGAGCCTGAATTGAGCACGATCCAGCTTGTCGTCTTCTCCTTGTTTATTCTCTCCTGCGACTTCGACCCCGACCTGCGACTTCGACCCCGACATCGCTCTCTCCTTATTCCTCTCCCTCGCGCTCTCCAGCCGTGCGACCAGCCAGGAACTTCCAATGCTGCGAGATAAGAAACCGCCCTCAGGTCCAAGGCCAGACTATAGACCATTCAAGGCGTAGGCTAATTCCTATCTGCTGATTCTATCGACCAGCCTTACTGACTGATCTGGGGACAGGCAGGAGAACTACGATCTGAAGGCGGTGCGAGAGCCGACCCTGAAATCCTCCTCGCGCAACAACCTGTCACGCATTTCTTTTGGCGGACACGCGGACGAAAATCTGGGTGGTTCATACGAATTCCTACCCTCCCCCAGCTTTGATGACCTCCACTCAAGCATAACTTCCTCGTCAAATGAGTTCGACTTTGAAAGACTTAGTGAAATAGGGAGCAGCGTAGTAGGAGCAAAGCGCCCAACCGAAAAGATGAATACCAGCACATCGACCCCAGAAGTGCGGAGCAATGGCACAACCCGTGGGCCAGTATCTGGACCAAGACCAGCAAGGACAGGATCAATAGTGAGGCGGCAGAGCACATCTACGCGGCAAAGTAGCGCTTCCTCGACCTCAACCGCGTCCGCAGTACCAGGATCTATGGATCCCCCAAGCGCCCCTCTCTTCACCAGGAACCGACGGCAAAGCCAATATCCTCCCATATCTGGGAGTGCTACGTTGAACGCGGCCAAAGCCCCCCGAAAATCGATAGGACCAGGAGTGGTAGAATCGGATCATACGCGTGCAACACAGAGGAGGCGACCAAGTCTGGCTTTGAGCGTATCTTCACAAGGACAATCGGAAGCTGCAGGGGCTTCTACGCGGGTACATATCGGAGGTGCGCCGACATACACGGATGGGGCTCGGGGACTGACGGCGTCGAGGGCTGCAAAGACGAAATCCCTCCAGCCGCCTTCAAGGCAAACTCAGACACAGTGGGCGGCAAAGAGGGTGACTCCGGACCACATGAGATCATCCTCCTACGCTGGGAGATCCCCAGGACGTCCCAATGGAAGAGTCACCACAACTCCCTCCTCGACAGCGAAGAGAATGTCAGTTATTCCCGGTATGCCCACCTCTTCCTCCCACGCTACAGGCCTGGGAGCTCGAACTGTCAGCCCTACGGACGCTCGGAGAGCAAGGCGATTATCTGTTTTACAAGGCCCCCCGCCAATGCCAAACACACCACCTACTCCTCAGCCCGAAACTTCAACTATACGAACTTCTTCGAGATCACCCTCCATGTTACCGAGAAAAGTGTCGACACCTTCGTCCTCAAGGACTACTCCAGATCTTAATCGCAAGTCTTACAGTTCTGGTCTATCAAATGCTTCGAATCAGAGCCACAATGGAACTTGTCGTACTTCGACGGGATCGCTACAACCTCGAATGTCGCTTCCTGCTTCGTCTTCTAGATTACCCACGCCAAAGCCAAGAAATACTCATAGCTCAGCTGGGAACCATGAGGAGGAGGAGGTACCACCTGTCCCAGCTATCCCAAAGGCGTACGAGTCGCCAAAGGATTCGCCCGTGGAGCCGCCATTCTTCGTTAAGCCGATGTCAAGCATGCCATTGGATGCGAACAGTATCAATAGTACGTTTACAAACAGTCAATCTGGGAAAGGGCATATTCGAGATCCACCAAAGAACGATCGAGAGCCAAGAAATCGCCATCATGGCCCTACTTCAACTCCAGACGATCAGCAGATCGCCGCACCCGTTAAGAAGAATTTGCAGCCTCTCCGATTGCCGCCTTTGAATCTACTACCTTTGAGTACTCCCACGGCTGCGAAGATTGCGGCATTAGAAAAAGATCCCGTACACTCTGATGGACAAACAACGCCGCCACCACGCCGGAGCAATGCCAAAACTCCTAGTAGTCCCATGACTGCGTCGAAGGCCTCGTTCTTCTCGCGGAAACGTAACGAATCGAAGGCTGAAAATCATCTAGCACATATGAGAAGCAGCAGCTCTATTCACTTCCTGCGATCGGAATCCTCGTCTCAACACGGTGCGAGCAGCTCTGAATCTTCCAAGCCTATCCCCATGAATAGCCGACAAAAAAGGCAAACCGTGTCGCCGTTCATCTCATCCTCTCTACCAAAGAACAGTGAAGAGCATTCCTTCATGCCAAGATCAAAGACCAGTGGCGATCTTTCAACGCAAGAAACAGTCGCCTCTGAACCCTCACGGCCAGCAAGATTGACCGGACCTCGTGCTCAGAAATTACTCAAACCAATCAAGACTGAGACTCCAACACGCATTTCCAGCCCTGAAGACATTAGCACTCCATCTTCAGGTACATCTCTACGCCGGAAGCTTAGCCTGGGTTGGAAGAGGACCACATCAAAAAATAATATCGGTACGTCCCATGCAGCTAATGAAAGATGCTCGGAATACCCTCCACAGCCACCCAGACACGATATGCCGCCACCTCGTCTCCCTGCTTCCGCCACTGTCAATTCTCTAAACAATGCAAACGTCCCCAGCCCGAGTCCCTCTGTCAAGTCAACAACCTACCTGGACTCGAAACGGCGCAAGAGCTCCATTTCAAGCATGACTGTGTTTGGTGGCCATGATAGAACCAGAAGCGACTCATGGGGTCTCAACGGAAACCCCCAGAAAGAAAAGCCAACCCCTCCAGCGGATAGACAGCTTTCTTCAGCCCGTTCGACTTCTACTATGCACAAGATGTTGAGCTCCAAGAATTCAAGCAGTACCACTAGCACTACGAAAATTGCAGACCGCTGGACAATGGATCTTGATAAAGATGACTTGACTGCCGAGGCCGAGGTCAAAAAGCTCGGTCTGAGGCGCAAGGACACCGAACATGCTGCGGCAATCCTTGATGCTTTGTATCAACGCGCCAACCCGCAGGATGGTGTCTCGCCTCAACAAGCTTTGCAAAGGTGTGACCTCAATATCTTCGAGCGCGGTGAAATAATCGACTACAAGGATATCTACTTTACCGGAACACCAACAGCTGCGAAGCATGTTGGGGAGCTCGGAGCTGATAGTGCCAACTTTGGGTACGATGACGAGAGAGGAGACTACAATATCGTCACCGGTGATCACCTTTCATATAGATATGAGATTGTTGATGTTCTGGGGAAGGGGAGTTTTGGTCAAGTTGTTCGGTGCGTTGACCACAAGCTGGGAGGACTGGTAGCCGTAAAGATCATTCGCAACAAGAAGAGGTTCCATCAGCAAGCTTTAGTCGAAGTCAACATCTTGCAAAAGCTGCGCGAATGGGTAAGCGAGCCTAGCTCTCACACGCCAGAGCATAGCTAACAGTTCACAGGACCCCAAGAACCGGCACAGCATGGTCAGCTTCACCCAGAGCTTCTACTTCCGCGGCCATCTTTGCATCTCTACCGAGCTCCTTGACATGAATCTCTACGAGTTCATCAAGGCGAACAGTTTCAAAGGCTTCAGTCTTAAGCTCGTGCGACGTTTCACGAAGCAGATGCTGACCAGTCTGGTGTTGCTCAAGCAGCACAAGGTTATCCATTGTGACTTGAAGCCAGAAAACATTCTTCTTACGCATCCGCTGCACTCTGAGATTAAGGTCATCGATTTTGGATCCAGTTGCTTCGAAAACGAAAAAGTGTACACATACATCCAATCACGTTTCTACAGATCCCCGGAAGTCATTCTTGGCATGACCTATGGGATGCCCATTGATATGTGGAGTTTAGGTTGCATTTTGGCCGAGTTGTTCACTGGTGTTCCCATATTTCCTGGTGAAAACGAACAGGAGCAGTTGGCCTGCATCATGGAAGTCTTCGGCCCTCCAGGGAAGCACCTTGTCGACAAGAGTACCCGGAAGAAGCTTTTCTTCGACTCGATGGGCAAGCCGCGTCTTACAGTCTCCTCCAAGGGACGTAGACGCAGACCGTCTTCAAAGTCGTTGGAACAAGTCCTCAAGTGCAACGACGAGGTATTCCTCGACTTCCTCACTCGTTGCCTTCGCTGGGATCCCGACACCCGTATGAAACCCGAAGAAGCCATCCGACATGAATTTCTTTCAGGTCAAAAATCGGCCGCTCCACTCCCCCGCATGGCTGGGCGAAATGAATCCCCTATCAAACGAAGCAGCGCCATAGTGCCCGCGTCATCTGGCAGCAACCGTCCTCTTCCCGAACCACCAGCAACGAGCTTCAAGAATGGCACCGCAGTTAGACCGCGCGAGCCCTCCGGCTCTAGCCCCACCAAATCTACCGCAACCGCACGCCGACAATCGACCGCCAGCGGACTAGCTACAGCCGGAAGCAAACGTACAAGCACAGGGGTCGTCTTGACCACTGGCAACAGTGGCTTACCCCGGGTAACGAGAAGCACGAGCGGGAGGATCGACCATGTGGCTGGAATGGCATCCGTCGGGGCTTCCATTGCGATGGGTAAACGATGAGGGATGGCGCTACGAGCTTGCTCTGGTACACAAAGTAGGCATTCGACGGGATCATATAGATGCTTGAGCAAGCGTGCATGTTCAGCTCGCCATACCCTTTCCCTTACTATTTCATTTATGTGGCGGCTGTGGCAGTCCTCTGCTTCGACCGGGTCGCACGAAGAAGCGGGGTGGGTGTCTTTCACTATTCTGGGAGGGAGGTGATGATTCCATGGTTGGTATTTTCTAGGGGGCGTTGGAGCGTACAAACAAGCATAGAGGAGAGACGATTGATTCATTGACCGGCTTGCAATGCGGGCCTGGCAGAAAAATGCGTGAATGACTGCGATTGACGAATGTATAATAAACTGTTGCATTGCAACGAAAGGGGGGAGGTGAAAGGGGTTGGGAGAGAAGAATCTGGATGTTGCGTAAATAGATGCGCAGGTAGGTAGGTAGCATTGTGTGAGGGGAGAAGCCACACGGAGTCACGGACAAGTGAATTGAAGGATTTCTCCCATGGCAATCTTCTGGCTAAGGAGGAGAATGAACAAACAACTTTCCACGTCCGAGTAACGGGCACAGCCATATAAATCTTCGCCTCGGCACTCAAGCGCTTCAATGCTGGAAAGGGCGCCACACGTGACCGTATATTTCCGCTCGCTAAATACGGAGTGTATCTATCCACGTACCACGGAGTCTATCTATCCAGGTACCCTTGCTCATTAATCGCCATGGCAACCGGGGAACGCTGGGAGCGACGGAGCCAGCACAATCCACAATATTTTTTTCATTTCATTACAACATTTGAACGCATTTCATCGCATTGCACTCTTCCCTGGACGTGTTGGTTTACCTACGATACGAAATTTCTCTGCCCCCGGATCAACCCCGGATCAACCACCGTACACACGTCGCCCTATGCATGGGATTTGGGATCTTGGATCTGGGTATTGGGTATTTGTTGAACTGAAGAACGCATGAACGGAACGAAGCACGAAGGAAGGGATATTCTGCAGAAGACCTTGTGCCACGACCGGAGACGAGACGACGGACCTCGAACGCAAACACAGCTATCCTCCTCGACAGCAAATACCTCAACTCTTCCCCGCGAAATTTTCTCTAGCGTGCGGAATTGCGACTGAAAGTCGCGGATTCTGAGCATTCACGATTGAAGAGGTCAACATGGACTTAGACAACCTGCGCACCGCGTCGCTGTACATCAACAACCAGCTGCTGTCGCGCGGCCTGCTACGCAATGGGCAAACTATCGACTTTGCACGGCCGGAGAGGGGGGATGGCGGTGCTGAGGCGACGATGGGGAGGGTGATGGGCGTGGTTAACGATTTGATCTTGAGGCGGGATGTAAGCATGCTCACACACACACTCTGAGATTCCCCTCCTTTCCCTGCTGCTTGCTTTCCTTTTCGCGGGGGAGGGCGCTTTGAGGTTGTAAGTACACTCAAAGTAAGGGCGAGGGTAGAAGGAGAAGGAGGAAGGAGGGAGCGAATAGTATAGTATGCTGATGCGAAGAAACTTCAACAGCGCGATGCTACCCAGCGCGAAACCCTATCCTCGACCCTACGCAGCCTACGCGCCGACACGCTGCGACACACTACCGACATGGAAAGATTGCAGACCAAGCACGCCGAGGCGCAGCGGAAGCTGGGTATTGCGGAGAGTGCCGAGCGCGCGTTGAGACAGCAACTTAAGGGAGCTGAACAGGCGAACCGCGTGCTGAAGGAAGAGATGGCGCGGATGAAGGTGCTGGTCCAGCAAACCCGGTCGCAGTGCGCAGTTGAGGTCCGGAAGCGAGAACGCACGCTCGAGGGGCTGAAGAAGCATGCTGGGGATGGGAGGCAAAGGGGGGGCGGAAAGGGTGTGGGGAGTAGGGAAATCACGGTTGTGGCGGGGGTGGGAGGGGACGTCCAAGGAGGGATGGGAAGTGTGGGTGTTGGGGAGGAAGGGTACGATTTGAGGAGCGAGACGAATGAGTTCCTGACTGAGCTCGCAAGGGGCCTGAGCGAGGAGAACGAGAACTTGGCTGCGTTGGCGAGGAGGACGCTTGAGACTCTGAGGACGCTGAGCGGGTATTCTGGGGAGAGAGATGCGGAGGCGGGTCGTGGCATGGTGGTGCAGATGGAGAGCGGGTATGATAATCTTGCGCAGGAGACAGAGGGCGTGTTAGATCACGTCCGCACGCTCCTGACGAATCCATCCTTCGTTCCGCTGGAGGAGGTCGAGGTCAGAGAGGAGGAGATCATTCGCTTGCGGCAGGGCTGGGAGAGAATGGAAAGTCGCTGGAAAGATGCCGTGTCCATGATGGAGGGCTGGCGCCAACGCATGGCGCGGAATGGGCAGACTGTCAATCTGGAGGAACTCAAAATGGGGCTTATGCTTAGTCCGCTGAAGGTCAAGGATGAGGACTATGAGCAGGGGTTCCAGCTGAGTATGGTCATGGAGGAGGAGGATGGCGAGGGTGATACCCAGGCGGATATCGATGCTATGGATGATTCTGGGATTCCTGGTCACGAGGAATGTGACTTTGACGAAGATGACGAGGTGTCCGAGTCGAGTCTCTTTGAGGACGAGCCGATTGAAGAGGATGAGCAGCTGGATGGGGGAGACGAAGAAGCGAACTACACGATTCATACTGTGTCCTCAATATCTCCAGGACCGGCACCACAGTTATCACCCCTGAGAGAAACCAGTGGCAATATCCGGGCTGTGGCCCCAAGCCCACCACAGTATAGAACGGAGAAGGAAGATGACGGATTCTCGACAATCATCGAAGAAAACACCTACGACCTCCTGCAATTAGCTTCTCCCAAGAAGCCTACCTCTGTAAAGTTAACGCCACAGCAGAATACGCGCCGTCCTACCACGCCTAATCCTACCGCGAGCAATCTATCAACACCACCAGATGAAATCTCCCTGCTTGAAACTTCATTTCCGCCGCCCACTCTCCCCCCGGCCAACTCGCGCTCAGCCTCTGCCTCCCCAACAAAGTCCTCGCGTCCAGCCCCCAAACTGTCCGCTCAAGCCACACCACGACTCCGACACGGCCTCGGAGGCAGTGGGGAAATACCGCCTAGCTCTCGTCTCCCTAGACCGCGCGAGCAGCAGCCCATGCAGAGCCCGCTGACGATGGCGAGTATCGCCGCCAAGCTGGCTGCTAGCGAGCGCGAAGCCGACGCTGCGAGGGTAAGGGCCAAGATCAAGGCTGCGAGGGCAGGGAGAGCCGGTGTTGGTGCTGGTGTTGCGAGCGTGCCGCCTCATTCCACTTCTCGAGAAAACAGCAGTAGTAGGGAGAAGGAGGACAAGAGACTTATGCCGCCTCCTCCGACGCCCAAGCAGGATGTTATGCTGGATGAGAGTGGAGCGGCAGGGAACGGTACGGGGAGAAGAAGAAGAGAGGAGAGGGAAGGAGAGGGAGAGGGAGAGGGAGAGGGAGCGGAAAACGCGAATTCGAATGCAAATGCGAATGCGAAATTCAGTGATGCCCGGAGTACTCGGAAGCGGAAGGCGCGGGATGTGGGCAAGGGACGCGCCAGCAGGAGGAGGAGTACGTTGAGTCCGTGGGAACTTGAGAGTTTGATCTTGGGCGGAGCGGGCGCGGGGGTGAGTCCTGGGAAGTGAGATGGGAGATGTCAGATGAGGGCATGAGATCGGATTGGATCGGATGGGTGAGGGTTGTGTATTGAAGATAGAAGAATGGGAGGGGGGAAAGGATTGGGGGCGGGAGGTCTTTTCTTTTTTTCTTGCGGGTTAGGTTTTTGGGGCTCTGGTCTTTGGGCTTTGGGGCTTGGGGGGGGTTCGGGGATCTGGGTGGTTTTGATCATGATGGGTTTAGACGTCTATTGTACTACCTACTGTGCGCTAAATCAGGTAAAGGTCAGGTAGGTTTTCTTGGGTACCTACCTACCTACCTTGACTGGATTATGCATGATGGCATGGCATGGGGATGATGGGATTTCGGATACGTACTCGTTTACCTACTTAATCCATAATACCATCGTCATGGATGGGTGAGTGGATCGTGGGTGTGGGTGTGTCTTTTGAAATTTGTGATGATCTTTTTTGGGGGTAGGGGGGTAGTGTGGTCTTGTTTTCTGGGATTGTATGGTTTTTTTACGGCTGAGGTAGTTGGGTAGTTGGGTAGTTAGAGGGAGGTCTAGTAAGTGAGCAAGTGATGTATATTGGACTGGACTGGACTGGATTTGTTTGGAGATATGAGCTTAGAAATTCTATATATTCAATGCATCAATTCCATATCCTGACCTTGCTTCGGATTCGAATTGAGCTGTTTGTGTATACTATGTGTATTATAAGAGAGAGAGAGAGAGAGAGAGAGAGAGAGAGAGACCCCCCCCGTTGCAATCATCCAGATCCTGGATTAAGCCAAGATAAGATATTTTGATTTCTTACATGTATTCGTATTTGTACTATCTATTAATTTCCACCCTCTCTCTCCATTTTCAAACTTTGTTTTCGCACCTGCACTTCCACTTCCACGTCGAATCTCAATCTTAATCTCAATCTCCAATTCCAAATGTTCCAAAATTCCAGCTAGAATCCAACGATCAGATCAGAAGCACATAAATCAAATCAAATATAATCACAACTTTGCCGCCGCCGCCGCCGCCTTCTTCCGATTCCCAGCCTTCTGATCAGATTGGAGCATGTGAGGGGTGATCAACGGGATCCGGGGATGGCTCCCTGCTAGCTCCATTCCGGTGATGGATTCCAGCTCGGCGACGGCCTCGTAGGCGCGCCCGAGGGGGACCTTGATGGTGTGGAAGCCGAAGGCGTGGGCTGCCTGTCGGGAGGTGAGAGTGTTAGCATTGGACTTTGTTTGTGTTATATGTAATAATTTTTCCGAGATGTATTCGCGGTGGAATATGAGTTTGCATTCAATTTTCCATTCTGTTGTGTATGGATTGTGGCTCTCGGATAGAATGGCCAAGAGAGGGAGCGAAAGAGGGAGAAGAGGGATGGATCCACAGAGGGTGTTGCCTGCCTGCCTGGCTTGGTTCCATTTTACTCACCTTGAGGTTCTCGCCGATGTCGTCCAGGAAGAGGACATCCTCGGCTATGATGCCGGAAGAGAGGTTGAGGGCCTGGCCGCGGGCAGTGGAGGCGTTGGATCGGGCCCACGCGTTGAGGGTCTGCAGCGTATGGGCGTAGATTGCCGGGTCGGGTTTTCTCATTCTGTGATTTGGTTCATTTTTCGCGTCAGTGTTTTTTTTTCGATTTGAGTCCTAAGTTACGAAGACCCTTCTCTCTCTCTCTTTCTTTCCGGTATTTTCTGCTTGCGATTTCTGTTTTGACGATAGGACTTACCCGACATGCGCACTAGATACGAAGACGTCGAAGAGGGCCCGGATGTCGCTCTCTGGGGGCGGGTTGGCATAGGGGTGGCCCGGGGGAAATATTACAGTGTTGGAGAGGGCGGCGAGAATATAGGTTTCGGATGCGTTCTTTTTAAGGGTGTGAAGGGCGGGGGCCATCCAGGGATCGAAGGCGCGACTGTGGGACATCATTTCCCAGAAGAGAAATGAGGCGTCGACTTTGGGAACAGGCGGCTGTCAGAGGTTACGTATCAGCGGATTTGCATGCCATTAAATATCCTGGCTTCCACAACCCCAATTCGGACGATGAGGGGGTGCGCTTACGACTTCTGCAGTGAGACTGGGGTTTGCTTTCCGGGCCTTGTTTTTATAGAAGGAGGACCAGACAGAAGGGTTGTGTAGGTCTGAGCTGAAACCTTCGAAGAAGGTGTTGTCGAGGGGGAGCTCGCCGCGCTCCAGGCGGTGCCAGTACCCGTGGGGCGAGGCGGCAGAGATGCTGGTGTTTATCCAGCCGGGGGGGATGGAGTGGGAAAGCTCATAGTCAAGAATTGCTTGCATAGGAGAGAGAACCTGGGTGGGTGTTAGAGGAAAGGGTATTTGAGATGAGTGATAGTATATAAATGAGGAGTAGACGTATGTGAGAAGAAGTGCGTAGACTACAGGGCTGAACAGAGCATAGTGGGGAGAGGTTCTGTCTCTGGCTTCGGCAGGTGAGTATCAAGGACTGGCATTATATAGATAAGCAGCTGTAAAGCAGAAACACAACATAAGAGATATAGAGAGAGCACGCCTCCATAAGAAACGGGCGATGCGTTAACTGAGTCAAGGTATTTCTGTCCTGACAAATAGACACGGAGGAGAACACTCAAAGTAGTGAAACCCGAGACTTAAGCCTCCAATAACTAAGCCTCGACTTGAATGTCAAAGACAGACTTGATTTGACGCAACAGCTGCAGGTGACTGGATATCGGCTTCTCAGTCCAACAAACGAGGAATAGATGTAAACATTGCGAGAAGTGGAGGGGCAATGAAGCCTTGACAGCAATACCTCAACTTGAAGTTTGAATACAATTGAATAATTCCAGACAAAAAGCAAAACTAAATTAAACGAATAGGTGCCAGATTCAAAGAGTACGTTACTGAAAGACAAGGCAAATTTTTTCTTACGCAAACTCCCCCAATATCAAAGAGTCTATATATATATATATATATATATATATGCATTCGTCAGCCGAGACCATGTGTATCGAGATGTGGGGAAAATTGGACCAGTAGATAGATATACTAACAGGACTTTTAGCTTCTTTGATTTTGTCATGATTGCTTCTATACTGTCCAGTACAAAATCTGTAGGGTAGTCTTCTTGAGACATGGGCAATTGGGGATATGAGAGGGAGAGTTGGTGAATAGATCTCCCAGCTGTAAGTCGGGTCGTAGGTGAAGTCGGTCGCTACCAGCCGAGGCTTCTTGAACTTCGGCAGAATTACCGGTACATATCATGATAAAATACTGCTATGTTTGACCGCCAACATGGTCACGTGACGTCCCACACATCGAGCATGAAAATCAACAAGCTGGCATGTGCATGAAAAAGTCGCTTTCTGTCTATGAAAGGGAGAAATACACTGCAATATGATGACTTCGATCCAACTCAATTTAATTGGAAAAAGTTGATGGTATTTGAAAGCACAGACCCGTGACCCATGCTCGTCGACGACCCTTCTCTGCCCCAAAATTTCCGAGGCTGGCGTGAACTTTTGGCGCTAAGCGAAAAGCCCACAAACGAATTCTACAAATCCTCCCACCCGCGAGACTTTCAATCTCCCTCCAACACCACGACAACATAGCAGCAGTGCGGCCAATCCCTCAAGATGGTAAGTCACCGATGATCTGATCCGGATGGCTGATCATGCATACCATGCTTTGCAAAGGACAGCGTGCGCAACAAGTTTTTTTGAGTAGCAGAAATGCGAAAGGAAAACCGAGAGTCATTGCAGAATGTTCGGATATTGATCTGAAATGCAAACTGCGGATTCGAGGACAGGATAATGGGCTAATTACCATCTTTACAGCCTTTCACAAAGCTGCAGAAGAACTCGGCGTACTACAGGTATGACTTGACTCCTGCTCTGCGAATGCCCTCACCTTTTCAACAATCTGCTAACTTGCTGCAGTCGCTACCAGACCAAGTACAAGCGCCGCCGCGTCGGAAAGACCGATTACTATGCGCGGAAGCGCCTCATCACTCAAGCCAAGAACAAGTACAATGCGCCCAAGTACCGCCTCGTCGTCCGCTTCACCAACCGGGACATCGTCATGCAGATCGTCACCTCCGAGATCACCGGGGACAAGGTCTTCTGCGCCGCCTACTCCCACGAGCTCCGCGCATACGGTATCGAGCACGGTCTCACCAACTGGGCTGCCGCATACTGCACTGGTCTCCTGATCGCTCGCCGCGTTCTCAAGAAGCTCGGCATGGACGAGGACTTCACCGGTGTCGAGGAGGCTGATGGAGAGTACAAGCTCACCGAGGCTGCAGAGGACGAGGACGCCCGCCGTCCATTCAAGGCCTTCCTTGATGTTGGTCTTGCCCGCACATCTACCGGTGCCCGCGTGTTCGGTGCCATGAAGGGTGCTTCTGACGGAGGCATTCTCGTCCCACACTCCGAGAACCGCTTCCCTGGTTACGACATGGAGACCAAGGAGCTCGACGTTGAGACTCTCCGCAAGTACATCCTCGGTGGCCACGTTGCCGAGTACATGGAGACCCTTGCCGACGACGATGAGGAGCGCTACAAGTCCCAATTCCAAGGCTACATCGATGACGAGATTGAGGCTGATGGATTGGAGGAGCTGTACCAGGAGGCTCACAAGGCCATCCGCGCGGACCCTTTCAAGAAGGTTGACGCTGCCGGCGAGAAGAAGACCAAGGAGGAGTGGAAGAAGGAGGGTCTCAAGTTCAAGGGGCGCAAGCTTTCCAAGGAGGAGAAGGTCGAGAGAGTCAAGGCCAAGATCGCCGAGCTCAAGTAATAAGCTCGCCTCGCGCTGGTTCTCACCTGCTACTCTGGCTCCTCGCTATCGCGTTTCGGAATCAGCTCCTACAAGCATGCGCGTGTCCATGCGGAGTTGAAGTCTGGCAGGAAAGAATACCTGAAAATGCAATGAATTACGCCCGAGCGATCTTTATAATCTCTTCCTGCTATTGTGACCATTGCTCTCTAATCGTGAGATTACTAAACCCAAGAAGAGAACCGAATCAAGTACTTCACCATCAGCCCAACGGCAGATCAACTTGACTTGATTCAATGTCTCCCTGTACATATTTTCTAAGCCAGCCTCGCCACGATAGCGCACTTCCTCGACCCCCACCCCACCCCCACCCACGATGTGAACGGCAACGATCAATCAAGGCTTTCCGCGTATCGTGACCAACCAAGCAATTTTCCATGTGCAGATTTGAAAGGGTACTGCGCAAATCACTAAACATGGCGCAAGAGAAGGTTTCAGGACTGCTCTGGTGACCGTCCGGGCCGCGGGAGATCTAGGTAAGTCAGAAGTCATAGGCGGAATCATAAGCGAGCGCGGAGGAGGCGGATATGTCGCGGTTGTTTTGTTGTTATTGCTCTTGTAATTGGTTACTTGTGGGCTGATTTTCTCCGGGCCTTCGCAATACTCCATCTCTCCGTATGTAATCAGTCAATCATGATGGAGCTTGCCGCTGTTTGGCCCGTTTGCTTGGTTTCGTTACCGAGAGGGGGAGGCGAGGAACGGCATTTACCTGCTTACCCCACGCGCCATCGGTACTTTGATCGGCAAGGCGGGGAGAAAGACAAGGTTGCTACGTCAAGTCAGTACGGAGGTACTTCTCGCCTTTGCTTTGGATGTTATGTCAGTCAGGTAACATAGGTAGGTAACTCTGTGAAATACATGAAATGTGTGAAATATTCTATACCCTTTGCTTGCCACAGTGTCTCTCTCAATATATACTATATACTACAACTATAATATTATACCGGTAGACGTATCTTTTACACTTCCTTCGTCACTCATCCTTCGGTCCTCAAACAGGCTAGCTCCCCGTCGCCCTGTCCCCTCAAATCACGCTCGGTCGGGCCTTTCGCTCCATCGAATACGATTGAACTCGCACCGAACTCGAGCCAACCTGCCACTCAAATTTCCGTGCTGACTGTCTACAGCGGCTCAAAAATATTGGCATCACCAAGAGCAGGTTCAGCATTCAAAGAAGCATCAGTCAAGTATGCATTGATAGTCGCAGCGAGCTGCTTATTCCCAGCGGAGTCGCCCCGAAGAAAACAAACGCCAGGTCCCCCGGGTTTCCATCATTTCGGGGACGGAAAGCAGGACAACAGCCAGATCACAATCGCAGCTATGGAGAGTGTTCACGGCGTCGACGTGAGCTGGATGAGCAAGCATGGAGGTAGCTCCAAAGGCATGTACGCCATTTCTGGCTCTGGCTCTGGCTCCAATGCAACGAGGATAGCTAACATATCCCACTCCTCCAGATGCCCGCGCTGCCGTCGCCTCTTCCTCCGAAAAGCCAAAAACAGTACATCATGGCCATCCTGCAGACTCCCAGCCGACGGCCCCGAAGCCCATACCAGCCAGACCAAACTACGCTCGCAGCACTTCGAGCGACAAGGCAACAACGCTGAACGGCATCCTCTCAAGATCCGTGTCCCCCTCGACCCCCTCGCGGCGGAACTCCTGGCTCTCCAGCATCTCGTCCAAGTTCTCCTCGTCTGTCAGCCTACATCCACATGCTTCTCCCTCTACGCCGTCCTCACAGGCAAGTCCGAATATCCAGGATGAGCCAACGATACCTACAGGTCCTCAGTCCCCGAAAAATGCTGTACTGCCACATGCTGTGAAGCCTGCGGGCGATGTACCGTACACGCCGGCGCCTCCGAAATCTACAGGGCCGAATTTCCTGCAGAGCGCTCTGAGGCGACTGTCGAGCTCTGCGGGGCAATTACAAACACCTAGCAAAGGACTGAATAACGGGATCTGTGAGAGGAAGGTTCTGAACGTGGATAAGAGTCGGGAGAGATGCCACATTTTGGAGCTGGATCAGTCGAAACTGCGTAGGGTAGCTTTCTGCGTAGATGTTGAGATTGCGAGTGGACCGAAGTACTTGGATGAGGAAGAAGGTGTGAAGGATGAGGAGGGTGAAGAGAAGAGCGTTGTTGAGAAAGGGGAGGCCGAAGCGCTGAAGAATCCTGAGGAGGTTACGAGTGATAAGGAAGCTTGTGGGTTTGTGACTCCTGCTGGGGAGGGAACGGGAGAGGTGCATCCTACGGAGAGTACAGGGCTGGATACTACGACTACGAATGTGAAGGACGATGCTCCGGCGGCTGATAACACGAAGAAGAGGGAAAAGAAGAAACGGAGTGAGGAGGAGAGGAAAGCCAGGAAAGAGAGGAAACGGAAATTGGCAGAGGCTAATGGGACCGTACCGGTCGAACTGGTTAGGAATCCTAGCGATAGCTCTGGGAGAGCAGTCCCTACAGGAAATGGAAAATCAAAGACTCAGGCCTCGCCCACGACCGACCCAGCACGGATATACCGACGATGCTGTCAACTGAGGGAAACGCCTATATTGAAGAGGATAACGGAGCAGTTGATGGATCCTGGCGGGCAACCTGGGGTACCCGGTGTGGTGGCCAAATTAGATCTCACCGGATACTGGCTCCAACTTCCCGATCTTGTCACCCTTGGGGATTACTTCGCCGTTGTTCCCGTCAAAGAGCTGATCATGGAGAATTGCGGACTGACTGATGAGGGTGTCCGGGTTCTCCTAGCTGGTCTCTTAGCGGCAAAATGTCCGGATTGGGAAAGAAGAGCGCATAAGAAGGGGAAATGGGGTGAGGTACCTCAGGGTGGATTCGTGGAGAGAATCGTGTTTAAGAACAATGCGAAGATTGGTAGAGATGGCTGGAGGTACATATCGACCTTTATCGCTATGTGTCGGACGTTGAAGTCGATGGACTTATCCAAGGTCCCTTTCCCTAAGCAAGTTTCGCCACCCAGCACGCCGAGTGTACATGCGCATGGCGTCAATTCCCATATTAATCGAACTGCAAGCTCAACAGGGACGACGAGCTCGGTAGCCACCAATCCTGATATTTCCTGCCTTCTTGGCAAGGCGATTGGCGAACGCCTTGCTGGCCGAGAATTCGAGCTACTGAACTTGGCTGAATGCGGGATAAGCACGGAACAGCTGGGGACTGTCATCGACGGGACCATCAAGTCTGGGCTGCGGCGTCTCGGCCTCGCCGGGAACAACATCACTTCCGAGGGGATGCAGCATGTTGCTCGGTTCATCCGAGACGGCAAGTGTGAAGGTTTAGATCTGGGTGGTAATGATCTGAAAGATCAGCTGGGTGTGATAGCAACAGCGCTAGGCGAGCATGAGACCGGATCCGAGCTTTACGCGTTGAGTCTTGCGGACTGCAGGCTTACCCCGGACTCGCTTTGGAGCTTGTTCCCAGCATTGGCGAAGCTCACGAATTTCCGGTTCATTGATCTATCGCAGAACCATGGGTTATTTGATTCGGAGGCGACTGCACTTTCGCTTCTCCGAAGGTACGTGACGTCTCTCATGCAACAGTCTCTTGTCCGTCCTCAGCCCATTCTTTCATGGCTATTCCAATAACCCCTCTGTGTCTCTTCGACATGCTGATCATGTCTTAGATACTTACCCAGGATCCCATCACTGAAGCGAATACACCTCGCCGATGTATCCATGACCTCTGAACAAGCCATCGCGCTGGCAGAGATCCTACCAGAGAGCCCGAACCTAGCGCATGTCAACATTATGGAGAACCCAGGTCTGGCAGCTCTAGCCAGTGCCAAGGGCGAAGCCAACCAAGAAGAGGCGTGCGCCCTATACGCCTCCCTCATGGCCGCCGTCCGTGTCTCGAAAACAATCATCTGTATCGATATTGAGGTTCCATCCCCTGAGTCGTGTGAGGTCGTCAAGGCCCTAGCCAAGCAAGTTGTTGCTTACTGCTTGTGGAATATGGAGCATGGGCCGGTGGCTGAGATTGATGAGACTGCCGTGGCGATAACAGAACCTCATTGCGGCGAAAAGGAGGTTTCTGTGCCGGACGTCCTAGTACATCTCGTAGGTGACATCGAAGGCGAGCATGACCATGACGAAGACGAGCCAGCGCCTGATGATGATTATGTTATTGGTGGCACCGGCGTAGTCAAGGCATTGGGTATCTGCCTACGGAACAAAGGAAATGAATCGAGACGACCATCATCTGATAGTCTGTTCGATTCAAAGGAAGGTGATAGCCGTCCGGTAGCGCCGAGTACAGCTGTGGGAGCAGGAAAGGCCAAGGACATGTCCAAGAATCTTCTTGGAAGCGCTCGTAAGATTAGAGCAAGGTTACAGCCTGCACTTGTCAAGGAGTCGCGGTCTGCCAATAGTATCAACTACAGTAAGCCAACTCATTCATATCCCACACCTAACCAAACTAACAGTCCCCCAGTGCGTCTCCAGTTTCTAGACCAAACCCTAGACGGCATGATCAAACGGTTCGAAGACGAATATCCCGAAACCCGCCTACAAGATTCGACGACAGTTGCATTCTCCCCCGCATTGGACCCATCAAGTCCATCTCTGAGCATCGAGGCCCCTACGAGCGGCGGCGACACTGCTGACGGCGACCCCTCCTTCCCAGAAACCACGCAGATTTCCGATGACGAATACCACCCCATCCGACCCGTTCTCTCGCGACACAATTCGGACGTCTCGCTCGCGAACCGCGCCCTTGCGCAGGAAGAAGGCCGCATGCATCGCTTCGGCCAACAGTTCCGCCGCGAAATCCTCAAGCCCGAGACGGGAGACCCGGACCACGGCACGGTGGACCTAGAGGAAAAGCCTCGGCATCTGCAGTGGCTACGGGCGATGGTGGACGGCTTCGGCGGCGAGGAGATTAAGAACCACATCCTGAGTCGAGGCGACGAGGCCGTGCTGGAGGAGCTGAACAACGAGGCGTCTGTGCTGAGGCGGCAGTTGCAGGAGCAGGACCCTGAGGGATGGATGAAATTCGTGGAGAGTCAGGAGAAGGCGGTTCGGAACCAGCGGTTGGCCGGGGTGGAGAAGAACGTCAGCGCTATTGATTAGGAGGGGGCGGGGGGGGCTTCGTGATGGGAGGGAGGGATAGGAGGAATTTTTGTCTTTCGTACGTCTCATTAGCGGGCCTACTACTACTCCTCTCTTCTTTAAGATTCACATTTCGATGATATGTTTGTTTTTTCCCCCGGGAGTCGGAGAACGAATATGTACATTATGCCATTCGTTGGGGGAAGGGAGCAGGCCTGCAAAGGGAGAGGGGGAAGGGACGGACTCGAGTGACGAGTCATGGAAAGACAGGGAATTTGTATACAGAAGCAAGGCATTTTTGTTTGTCCCGCTACTACATCCAGTTACTGTTGGGGAGAT